CGAGTGTGAGAGAAAAAACTCGTGCAGTTTGCTGATGGAGTGGGCAGGCGTGGGAGTCAGTGAAGGGATGTGTCTTGATTCTCAGGTTTTGGGCTTGAACAGCTGACACATAGAGGTTTCATTTGTTTATTTATCTTTGGATGGGAAAGATTGGGGGAAGGATACATTTAAGTAGAATAAAAACTAAGAGTTCATTATTAGATAGTCTAAGATATGAGAGGAGCTGTCGAATAGGCTTTTGGATTATGGGTATGGAGCATATTGGAAACAAGTGAAAAAGTGGGAAGTCTGGATAGTTTGCAGATCATAAGGCAGCTGCCATGTCAAGAGCACTGTGTTGGATTTAGAAGATCTAAGTGTCACCATTTTATTCAACTTCTATTGGCTGTGTGACTAAGGGCAAATCGCTTGATCTTTTTGAGTGCCATTGTTTCTCATCTTTCTTTTCAGTTTGTTCATCAAATTCCATACTCATGTATTTATTAGTGGTCATTTAACAGTTGTGTCACTCATGAGATTGTTAGTTATATAAGAAAAAAGGGAATAATTTGTTTCATAGAATTGAACAAATGTAATATATAAGTGAGACCACAGTTTACAGATATTTGGCCCAGTGGATGCTCAGGAAAGTTAATTCATGCACTTACAGTTTGGGTTGGTAGGAAAAAGTTTATAGAAAACCTTGAAAGGCATGGAGGGGATTTGGTATAATACAGAGTTTTAGAGTTTCTTAGTATGGGAATAGATTTATCGAAGTTTGGTTTTAGGAAGCGTAATCTAACTGCTGTGCAGGAAGAAGTTAGAGGCAAGAAATATCTAGAAAATCAATCATCATAGGTTGGGATATGATGCTAAAGGGCCTCTTCTGGGTCTTGACATGGGCTCAGAGATCAAGAACAAATGAGAGGCCGGGTGCAGTGGCTCACGGCTGTAATCCTAGCACTCTGGGGGGCCGAGGCGGGCGGATTGCTCGAGGTTAGGAGTTCGAAACCAGCCTGAGCAAGAGCGAGACCCTGTCTCTACTATAAATAGAAAGAAATTAATTGGCCAACTAATATATATATAGAAAAAATTAGCCGGGCATGGTGGCCCATGCCTGTAGTCCCAGCTATTTGAGGCTGAGGCAGGAGGATCGCTTGAGCCCAGGAGTTTGAGGTTGCTTTGAGCTAGGCTGATGCCACGGCACTCACTCTAGCCTAGGCAACAAAGCGAGACTCTGTCTCAAAAAAAAAAAAAAAAAAAAAAAAAAAAAAAAAAAAAAAAAGAAAGAACAAATGAGAGAGAATTCAAAGAAGTTCAAGATTTGCTCAATGACTTAACAAAGAGGGAAGAGTCACATGAGCCTAAGGTTTGTAGTCTGGGAAGCTAGAAACTAGTGGAAGCAATGACAAATCTGGGATACTCGAAAGGGGAACTGAGTTAGGGAAAGGAGAGTGCGTTTAGTTTTCAATGAATAACTTGTCCTTAGGTAGTTGGTTATTCTCTGGCGAGGGATATTGTGGAAAGAACACAGGATTAGAAATCAGAAGATTGATTCTTTTTTAGGCTTAATCAGTAATTAGCTTTGTGGTCTTGGGAAAGTCAGCATCTCAAGTGTTCAGTGTAGTTATCTTTAAAATGAAGCTAACACACACTTGTCCTGTCAGCCTTACAGAGTTGTTTTGAAGGTCAAATAAGAATGCATATGTAAACACTCTGATTGCAAACTCCTAAATAATTGTAAGATGGTAATGTTATTTTTTTCTTAGTTCAAACTAAAATGAAATATTTGGAACTAGAGCTAGAGAAGAGAGAAAAGGGAGACAATACCAAATTTCTGAAAAACTTTGTAAAGCGTCAGAAATCTGAGTTTCTGAATATATATGCCTGAAAAACCCTATAGACTACAATTTGGGAGACTAATCTGGAAGCTGATCTTGTGTGACAGTTACAAGAACCGAAAACAAGGTTGTGTCTCGTTAGACAGCAGTATCTAACTTGCCTTCAAGTTGGAAGTATGAATGAGAACTCTTGAATTCTACCTGTATAGTTGCTTCATGTGTGTTAACAGAATTTTAAAACATTTGATTCTTATGCTTTTGCCAAGGGTCCAGTTAGGGTAATGTTTCAATTCTTAAGCTATATATAAAGAGATGATTTCTAACATATCATTAGCATTATCAGTAAGTATGGTGTGCTGGTCGGGAGCACAAACTCTGGATCCAGACTGCTTGGGTTGAATCGTGGCTCTGTCAACTAATTGCTAGCAGTGTGCACTTGAACAAATCATTTAACTTCTCTATGCCTCTATTTCCCCATCTGTAATGGGAGATAAGATTTGCCTGAAGGTTGTTGGGAGGATTAAATATAGTACTGTATGTAAAACACTTAGAATGGTGCCTGGCACATACAAAGTACTATATGTGTTAATGGTGGTCATTGGAATCAGTTGTTATTTTGACAGTGACCAATGAATAACGTTCATGAACAAAAGAAACAAATCCTTCTCTTGGAACTGATAGCTGAGGGGAACAGAAGTGATCTAGTGGTACATGGGCTTTAAATCCAGACAAGCTTAGATCCAAATTCTAGTTCTACCCTTTTGCTTTGTAGTTTAAATAGGCCACCTAACCCCTATGAAGCTAAGTTTCTTTTACCTACAAACCAGAAATCACAACACCTATCTTGTAGAGTTGTTATGACAATTAAATGAGATAACGTATAAAGTGCCTGACCCAGAGAAGACACTAAGAAAATGAGAGTGCTCTCTATCCCTCCTCCCCAGGGTAGAGCAGTATGGGCAGTTTGATATCTTGTGTGCTGTCTCATTCATTTGTTTGCAATTTTAGAACTTCTAAAATTATTTCCATTTGCTAACAGAATAAATAGCCGCTATATAATTGGATACACCTTGAAAAGTGTATTGTTAGCTTTTGTTTCCCTTTTCCCTTTGCTGTGTGGGTTACTTGCTTTATTATTATGATAAATCCTACTGGAAGCAAGATGGTAGATACTATTAATGTATTATTAATAATTCTATTATCAACAATAGAGGGTTGACCTGGGGTGTAACCTCAGAATCTTTCAGTATTCCAGGTATCTACAATCAGTTCATCAGAGTTGGCACGGTAGCGAAAACCTATCTGTTCTTCCTGATTTAGAACTTTCTAGAAGCAATATCTATGAGGTTATCAAAATACTATATGGGGCAGGGTGCGATGGCTCGCACCTGTAATCCCAGCACTCTGGGAGGCCAAGGTGGGAGGATCGCTCAAGGTCGGGGGTTCAAAACCAGCCTGAGCAAGAGCAAGATCCTGTCTCTACTAAAAATAGAAAGAAATTAATTGGCCAACTAAAAATATATATATAGAAAAAATTAGCCAGGCATGATGGCGCATGCCTGTAGTCCCAGCTACTCAGGAGGCTGAGGCAGGAGGATCGCTCGAGCCCAGGAGTTTGAGGTTGCTGTGAGCTAGGCTGATGCCACGGCACTCTAGCTCGGAAAATAGAGTGAGACTCTGTCTCAAAAAAAAAGATATATATATATGTGTATATATATATATATGGACTGTCCATTAATCCTCTGTCTTGAGATGTGCACTTGTCAAACCTTATGACAAGGCCGGGTGGTCTTGTAGCATTTCCTAACAGATGCATATCTGTATTACAATATTATTACAGAATGTAGGCATCTTTAGACACCTTCTAGAGAAGGTGCAATAATTGTAAAAGTACAGGGCATTGATTATAATGCAAAGATTATAATGCAGTGATCCAACCAAGAGTGTGCATCAGAGTCAGCTGGGATGTGGTCTTAAAATACTTGTGCTGTGAGCCTCACCCAGATTTATTGAATCAGAATCATTAGGAGATAGACCCTGACACATGTATTTTATAAAAGTACTCCAGAAACTTCTGCTATATATACCACTTGTTAAAAACAGCTAGATACTGGCTATCCTCATACACACATTATTGGTATGAGTGTACATTGATATAGTACAGCCTGTGGAACAATTTTTCAGTATCAAAATTTCAAATCTGTCTATAAAAAATACATGTATATACAAAAATATAGTTTAAGAATGTTTTTTGTAAGTATGTTTATAATATCAAACAGTTGTGAGCAACTAATTGATTATCACTACACAAATGGTTATATATATCACATTTGTTTACTGTATAACCAGTTAAATAATGAATATGTATGAAAATTATACATGCTGATAAATATATCTAGGATATATTGTTAAGTTAAAAAAGCAAGTCACAGAATAAGCCCTATTTTAAAAATTTTATGCCAGTAAATAGACAAAGATGTGGAAGAATACTGACCAAAGTGTTTGTAGTGGTTATCTGTGGATTAGAAGAGTGGGAATGATGGAGCCAGGGTGAGAGAGGCCTTTTTACTTTTAAATACTTTGTATTTAAAGTATCTGCAATAAAATTTTGTTTTTATAATAACAAAAAGAACCGTTGGAATAAACATGAGTGATTTTAAAGGAAGCTCTTATAGCCAGGCATGACGGCTCATGCCTGTAATCCTATCACCTTGGAAGGCCAGGGTGGGAAGATCGCTTGAGGCCAGGAGTTCTAGACCAGCCTGAGCAACATAGTAAGACCCTGTCTCTACAAAAAAAAAAAAAAAAATTTTTAAAAAAAGGAAGCTCTTGTGGAAACTAATTTATATGTGTCAGGACACTGCTTATTTTGTTTTAACCTGAGACTTATCTATAACTTGGGAAACAGGAATGTCAAAACTTTTTGCCTGTTTGCACAGAGGATAAAATTGTGTTGCCACGGTGGTTGTGAAAGTAATCAAGAGTTTCAAACAGATAAGCAGTTAAGATAAAAAGTTTTGCCCTGTATCCGAATTATATTGACTGTTTTAGAAAATTTTAATATCTATGCATATGTGGACATGAAAATTGGGTTCAAAACAGTTTAATCTTTTATCAGTTGGTTAGCAAGTAGCCTATGAGGATATTAACACATTTCAATCCCCTCTTTTATAATTTTAGGCCCGATGAGAGAAAGGGAAAGTTAAGGATGCTGGAGCAGAACAATGGATTTCTCTTTCTCTTTCATGCAAGGGATCATGGGAAACACAATTCAGCAACCACCTCAACTCATTGACTCCGCCAACATCCGCCAGGAGGATGCCTTTGATAACAACAGTGACATTGCTGAAGATGGTGGCCAGATACCATATGAAGCTACCTTGCAGCAAGGCTTTCAATACCCACCTACAACAGAAGATCTTCCTCCACTCACAAATGGCTATCCACCGCCAATCAGCATATATGAAACTCAAACCAAATACCAGTCATATAATCAGTATCCCAATGGGTCAGCCAATGGCTTTGGTGCAGTTAGAAACTTTAGCCCCACTGACTATTACCATTCAGAAATTCCAAACACAAGACCACATGAAATTCTGGAAAAACCTTCCCCTCCACAGCCACCACCTCCTCCTTCGGTACCACAAACTGTGATTCCAAAGAAGACTGGCTCACCTGAAATTAAACTAAAAATAACCAAAACTATCCAGAATGGCAGGGAATTGTTTGAGTCCTCCCTTTGTGGAGACCTTTTAAATGAAGTACAGGCAAGTGAGCACACAAAGTCAAAGCATGAAAGCAGGAAAGAAAAGAGGAAAAAAAGCAACAAGCATGACTCATCGAGATCTGAAGAGCGCAAGTCACACAAAATCCCCAAATTAGAACCAGAGGAACAAAATGTAAGTTGAACCATCTTTTTAAAAAATCTTGTAATCTTTCACATTTACTGGAAGTCCAGGAGATCTTTCTCAGTTTTTGTCTCCAAATATGAATGTTTCTGGTAACTTTTTCTTCTAATCACTAACAAGGTACTTGGAATATTATAATAGGTGCTGAGTAAATGTTTGTTGAATAAATGAATGGACATCATTAGGGTGAAAAATATTTTTAAAACATGTGACACTAAGAATCTTGCTTCTTATGTTTCTTTGTCCTGTTAGCCTCGATTATTTTTATTTGCTTATAATAAACTCCCGGTTTTTGAAGATGAAGAAGAAAGGCAAAGAGAAGATGGTTAATTATATTGGTTTTTCATTATTTTAGACCAACTTTTGTCAGTAGAGCTTAGATTTAGCATTCATTACTAATATGTTTGCTACCAACTAGCCTGAAATAATAGGAAAACTTGTTTTATTAAAATCAGAGTTAGTATTCATATGTATTGATTAAAATTTGAAGTAGAGTTGTTATAAAAGTCATCATCAGTAACTTAAGATGCATGCTGCTGAATTTTTTAATATCTAAGGTTTGTGTGTGAATTTGCTTAGCAATAATAGTAAGCAGGTAACAAATCAATTCTAGCTTGAGTGAAGAGTTCATAATATGAATTGCAGATGTTTTCTAGACATTGATTTGGGAAGAAACTAATACATGTTTATTTTTGTGACAGTTATCTGCTTTTATATGTGGCATGCCTGAATAAGTTAATTTGTTACCTTCTGTTTCAAGAAATATTGACTTCTTACCAACTCGTCTTTTCCTTGGTAGCTGGGTTCTATTACTTCATACAACTCAAATGTGATCTTGTTCTGGAGTAAAGATTACGGTGGTTCTAGAATCTCACAAGTTCCAGTGTGACATTTCAACATGTTTTCTCATTTTTCTGTAGTTTACTCATTTAACAAATATTGATTGAATACTGTAATGTGCTATACACTTTTCTAAGAATTGAAGCAGTGATGAAGAGTAAAGACACCTGCTCTCAGGGTGCTTATATTCTAGTGTGGGGAGCCAGAAGATACGTATGTACTATACACATGTGTACCTAAGTTCAGATAGTGTTAAATACTGTAAAGAAAATCAAACCAGGCAATGAGATAAAGAGTAATCCGGGACATTTAGCTATATTCTGGTGTCTTAGTTCTGCATCTGTAAAATGAAGGCTTTGGAACTAAATGATTTCTGAAATCTTTTAGTTTCTGAATCTTTTAGTTTCCTACGTCATTTATTAAATGCCCACCATAGAACCTAGCTCACATACTATCTTACACTGTTTATTGAGTAAATGAATAAGTGGAAGGAGAGAAATTAACTTTCTATACTATAGATACATTCACTGTAGTATTTCTTACCTAGACCCTCAGTAAAAAGATATGTGATGTACTGTGGTCCTTGGGAATCCCAAAAATGCATAAAACCTGAATTTGGTTTTAGCTTATTAGTTCCTGAGAACTGTCTTGCTGGCCTATCTTGCTTTTGCTGTAGAGAATCTGGCACATAAGAGAATATCTAATTTTACTTATTAGGCTAGACTTTTTGCCTTTATTGAAAAAGTTAAAAATATATTTCAAGGCCAGGGTGGGGTGGCTTACCCCTATAATCCCAGCAACATAGCTAGATCTTGTCTCTACAAGAAATAAAAAAAATTAGCCGGGCATGGTGGCAAACACTTGTAGTCGTAACTGCTTGGGAGACTGAGGCAGGAAGATCACTTGAGCCCAGGAGTTCGAGGTTACAGTGAGCTATAATCATACCACTGCACTCCAGCCTAGGTGACAGAGTGAGAGCTCCTGTCTCTTATTTAAAAAAAGAAAAAGAAAAAAAAAGTGTGTGTGTGTGTGTGTGTGTGTGTGTGTATATATATATCTCCTGCAATTAGAAGCAGGATAAGTCTGTTTTTCATGTCTGCTTTCTGCTCAATTAGAATCTAGGGAAAAATTCATCACAGTGATGTTTCCAGTAGTCATTCTGCAATGAAATTCTAAAACCAGTTCTGTCTTTATTGAATATCTGCTGTGCCTGGCTTTTCATATCACGTAAACCTTCAGTTAACTGTTATATCCAAAGATTAAAATGTTTAGATATAATTTAAGAGTTTTAGTTCATTTTCTTTTTTATTAAATCATGCTGAACAAAATTTAATATTTGATTATTTAGGATTTTATGATAGCTTGGGGTAAAGGAAAATACCAGTTTTGACCAAAGGTAGAGCTGTAGCAAGTGACACTGATTGCACTGAATATTAGGAAGACCATTGCTTGAAAGTTGAGTCTTGGAGGGAAACCCAGGTGTTTTTCTTGTCCTCTCTCCCTGCCCTCTTCTTCCCTCTCTGCCCCCCTTCTCTTCTCCCTTCCTTCAAAGAAGCAAAGTGAAAAGCTAAGTTCTTGTTAATTGAATTTTGATTAATTGAAATTTCATCACACATGAGGGCAGTTGTAAGCTTGAGAAATGGGTGCCATAACAGTTGTACTCCGTTCTGCCAAGAGAACTTCAAGGCTAGAGCTCCCAAGGCTCTTGCTTATCGTTAGTGTCATAACTTTTTTGCTAACCTGAGCAGGTGACTAAAGATGTACATCTGTTTTGTAACCTTACATGTTTCTAAATTAGATTTCCTTAACTAGAACAACATCTCCACTGTTTCCTTTGGACAGTTGTTTTAAGTGTTATAGTATTTGATACCTTTGTGCCTCCTGATTGTCCCTAGAGGTCCCAGCCCTTGGTGTTTCGTGGAGGACTGAGACCTCAAAGGGAAGCAGAAGAGGCTGCCGCCTCCACTGGACAGCTCCCCTCCCCAGATGCCTCAGGGAAGCTTAATGAAGGCTGTATCCCTGGGGGAAAAGTCTGAAATAATTGTCCCCAAGCTGGTTTGCTTTTATAACCAATTTTTTCTTTTCTTTTTGTTCCTTAAAAGCCCACTCATAGGTTCTTTTTTGAACAAACAAAATCCCATCTAAAATAATACAACTATAAGATTTCACCTACTATTTTTTTCTTAGTACTTCTTGATCTGTAAGTATTTCCTTCCAGTTCTGAGCTGTCTGGCCTTCTAAAGGGTTGTTATTTGGAACAAACTAAGTATATCTTCTCAACAATGAAAATGTGTCCAAACATCTAGGCAGCAGGAGACCTGAGATCACTACTGAAATTGTATATTTTTAAAATCTGCTTTAGCTGTTTTTCCTCCCACCAAATTAGAAACATGTGGAAATGTTTCTGCATTTCTTCCTCTTTGGCAGGTGTAATGCTTCAGGCATGTGAGTGTGGGCCCTATTCAAACATTCGTTGGTCTTCCATCAGCACTTCAGTGGGCTTAGCCATTAAGGCAGAGTCTCATTAACTCTTAGCTTGCCATTTCTCCTGTGAAAAGCCAAGTGGCTAAATCAGTCCCATTGACACCAAGTTAGGAGGTTTGGTTCTCTAGCCACAGAGTTTTGGGCATTAAAATTCTTAGAAACTGTTCACATGTGAAAATTCTTTCCATATACGTTTTTTTATTTTTTAAGGTTACAAACTTAAGCAGTTACTCAAAAAGTAAAAAAAAAAAAAAAAGTGCAGTTTATTGCTTTTAAAATTTTCTTTCCAACTTTAATGTTGACATTAGTTTTTTGGGGTTTTTTTAGGGATATGATTTTAGTTAATATTTTTGCAATTTATTTAACTAATATTAAGGGTTTGAAATTCTGCCAGATTTGATGCTTATTATTAATCTTAATGAATCTCTTAGTTGTTTTTTTGTTTGTTTTTCTTTTTGGAGACGAGTCTCGCTCTGTCACTCAGGCTGGAGTACAGTGGCATCATCGTAGCTCACAGCAACCTCAAACTCCTGGGCTCAACTGATCCTCCTGCTTCGGCCTCCTGAGTATCTGGGACTATATGCACATGCTACCACACCCGCCTCATATTTTCTATTTTTGGTAGAAACAGGGTCTTGCTCTTGCTCAGGCTGGTCTAGAACTCCTGGGCTCAAATGGTCTTCCCAGAGTGCCTGGATTACAGGCGGTGAGCCACTGCATCCAGCCAAATCTCCTGGGTTTTAATAAAAGTACCAGAACAAATTCTACACGGGAATATTTAGGATAATATAATTTATTTTAGCCACTCTCCTAACATAATTTTTTTCCTGTTTTATTAATAGAAACTTACTGTGATTCTTTCCTGGAAAATAGGTTTTTCCATGTGGAATGAATTAAAAATGTAAAAACATGGTATATACCCATAAAATCATAAATTTATAATTAAGATGAATTGAACATTAAGGAAAGCTAACTTATTTTCTCTTTTTCTCTGATGCTTCTCTTCCTGACATAGCAACACTATTAGTACCAACAAAAGGGTGCCTACTGTTCCTACTTAATTTTAATATTTTAAACTTGTCTCTATCCTTTGAACAGAAGGAAAATGAATTTTATACCCAGAACTATTTTATCTGTTGGCATTTTCTGAGTCCTCCTTTTTTCAATTAATTAATTTATTTTTATTTATTTATTTATTTATTTATTTATTTATTTATTTATTTATTTTGAGACAGAGTCTCACTCTGTTGCCCAGGCTGGAGTGCAGTGGCCTCATTACGGCTCACTGCAACCTCGAACTCCTGGGACCTAGTGATCCTCCTCTCCTGCCTCAGCCTGGCACATGCTACCACACCCAAACTTTTCTATTTCTTATAGAGATGAGGTCTCCCCGTTGCTAAGGCTAGTCTCAAATTCCTGGCCTCAATCCTCCCAGGCCGGGCATGGTGGCCCGTGGTGGCTCACGCCTATAATCCTAGCACTCTGGGAGGCCAAGGCCGGCAGATTGCTCGAGATCAGGAGTTCGAAGCCAGCCTGAGTGAGACCCCTTCTCTATTAAAAATAGAAATTAATTGACCAACTAAAAAGATATATATAGAAACAATTAGCCGGGCATGGTGGCACACACCTGTAGTCCCAGCTACTTGGGAGGCTGAGGCAGTAAGATCCCTTGAGCCCAGGAGATTGAGGTTGCTGTGAGCTAGGCTGATGCCACGGCACTCACTCTATCCTGGGCAACAAAGTGAGACTCTGTCTCAAAAAAAAAAAAAAAAATCAATCCTCCCACCTTGGCCTCCCAGAGTGATAGGATTACAGCCATGGGCCACTTGCGTTCGCCCTTATTTTTCTTGATCCCTAAGCATTTGACTTCCATTGACCATTTCTTCTTAAAAACTGCTCCCCTCGTTAATAGGTGTTTGTGACACCATGATGTCTCTTGGGTTTCTTCTTTCTTTTGAGCTCGTCATAAATCTCCAAACGCCTAAATCTGTTTTGCTCATGCAGTAGCACGTTTTATAAGGTATGTTCCCTCTCTATCATTCCAGCATCCTTATGTGACTTCATTTTCCCTCTCTTATTTATATAGTCTTGAAAGCTTAGAATAAATCATCTTGGGTTTCTTTCTTTTCCTTGCCACTTCTTGCCTTTTAAAATGTGTGAGAAATTTCAATTTTTTAAAAGTGATTTTGACAGTGTTTTAAACCAGCCTGAAGGAAATGCCAACAATATGGAACAAACCAAAAAAATCACAAAAAGATAAAGACATTTGAATAATAAGAAGGTTTGGAAGGAAATCCTATCTTTAATCCAGAAAGGGAAAAATGTGAACGGGTTTCAGATCAGACCTTACAATAGTAGGCTGCCGTTGCATGGTAAAGATTAGTCATTCCTGATCTGTCTGCCCTCGAATGGAAGTTATTGGGATCCTTATGCCGAAACATCGTGGAGAGTGAGTGTGTGGTAGAGGATGTCTCGCTTCCTGGGTTACACGTGTGCTCCTCAAGTTGCCTGTCTTCCTGCTGTAGCTTGATTGGAAAGAGAAGCTAAAGTGAAGACTTAAGCTCTATCTGTAGACTGCAATGAAGCCTACGAATACAACTATGCAAGTGCGGACAGTATTTCTAAACTGCATCATTGTTACATTAGTGATTAGAAAAAAATTCCTTTTGTTTGAACATAGATTTTTCTTTCATTGCTCAATGAGTAAGTCCTACTAGATGTTAGATGTTCATGATACCACCACAATGAAGCACTGACAGAGCTAATTTTATGCCTGTCAGCAAGCTGCCACTTCCTCCTTTCACCTGGATAATTGCAGTGACCTCCTGAGTAAACATTCTGCTTCTCTTGTTGCTCCCTTCCAAAATATTCCCCACATAATAGCCAACATGATCTTTTTAAAACGTAAGTTGATACATGTTATTCCTCTTTATAAACCTCTTCAGTGGCTTTTCATCGAGGGTCAGATAAATCCAAACACTTGGATACAAATACAAGGCCCTCTTGCCTGGCCGGCTCTCCACTGTCTTCTAACTTCAGGCAGTTAAGTCAGTAGTCATGACCTTGACGTTTCTACCTTTTTAACCTCAGGTACCTCAAGAGCTGCTCCTTCCTGGAATGTTCTTTCCCCCCACATTTTACTACACTAATTCCTCTTCCTTTGATTCTCAGATCTTAATTTACTTTTTTAGAGAAGCCTTTTCTGACCTTTATATCTAAAAATATACACGTACCCCCATACCCACACACACCATTATTTCTCTTCCTAGCACTTACTTTTTAAGTGGACGTTTGTGTTTCTGTTTGTTTAATGTCTGCCCTTCCTACCCAGCTAAACTCCTTGAGGTCAGGGATCACATCTTTTTGTTTCACCATTATATATCCAGCATTTAGAACTGTGGCCTGGAAATGCTAGTCACTGTTGAATGAATGTTTGATGGTTGGGGTTGGGATTTTAGTCTGGCTTACATAACAGGCCATTTTTCTAACATTTAAAGACTTTTTTATACTTTCTTTTTGGGTAACAAAAGAAAATGGGGTGTTTGGGGATTTTTTAGAGACAGGGTCTCGCTCTGTCACAGGGCTGGAGTGCAGTGGCTTGATCATAGCTCACTGCAGTCCAAAATTCCTGGGCTCAAGATCCTCCTGCCACAGCCTCCCGAGTAGCTGGGGACTCCAGGGGCCTGCCACCATGCCCACACCTGGCTTTTTTTTTTAATACTTTATTTAACAAAATTTTGTTTTTATAATAGAATCTTTAAATGTCTTGAAATAATTGAATGAGAATTTTAAATAGCTTTTAGAATTAACCATATGCTCTTAGTGGAATTAAGACCTAATTTAATGGATCTCTCTTTTTTAAAAAAATCTCTTTTTAAAACCATCTAAATCATGGGTCCTCAAACTTTTTAAACAGGGGGCCAGTTCACTGACCCTCTCATAGCGTTGGAGGGCCATTGGAGAGTGCAGTGCACATTCCACACATGTGTACTATGGGCCCAGGAAGAGTCGGATGCTAAGCAGGACAGGCCGTGGTGGCAGAAACACCTGGCGGGCCGTAGTTTGAGGATGCCTGATCTAAATTAAATTCTGTTCTCTAACAAGTGAGAAATTTAAAAAATCTTTTGTTTTTAAAAAAACTTTATTTATACCACCTTGCAAGACATAGTCTGCCTACAGTGAATTGATTATTATTTGGTATTATCATTTGGAGTTTTAAGCCCTTCCCGGAATATTGATAGATACTGAAATTTTGAGCCTTACCTCTTCAGTAAAGAATATGATATTTTAAGGAAGAACAGAGAAAATGTCTGATGGAATTAAGATCATTGAAAGGTAGTTCAAAAAACTAGGCACATCACAAAATATGATTAACCTTTACCTACAGGTGTTCTCTGAAGCTAAATATAAAGAAATGTTGGATTTTTTCCTTATGACAATATCATGGCAAAATATGCCTAGGAAGTACTGTTTATGGGATGACTCTTCTAAGTTTGTACTAGATGATATCAAAACAAAACCTAAAATTGTCTTATCAGTGTTTAAAAAGAAAAGGGATATTTTGGTCTTCCTATAAAAATCTTTTAAATTGTAGAAGGAGATTGCTTTTTACAGAAAATACAGATGCTAAAAAGGATAGAAGATCTTCCTTCATTGTTTTCCTACTCTCTTTCCCAAAGATAATTACTGTTATCAGTTTGATTTCCATTGTACCAAATATTTTCAAGGCATGTATAAACTATTTTAAAATAAAAAGTTGGAAGATGTTGAAGACATATAGACTACTGATATGAAATAATACTGTAGGGACCATTCCTCTGCTTAGATTTTCTCATTTTGTGTATTTCTGTAGGATTAGTTTCTAAAATGTTATTGCTAGATTGAAGAGTATACATATTTTGAATTTTGATGGCTACTTCTGAATTGCCTCCCCAAAGGATTATAGAAATTAGTTTTTTAAATAACATACTTGTGGGGCTTATGTTTTAAAAAGTAATGTATTATTTATTGTAGACAATTTGACAAATATAGAAAGGCACCAAAAAATTTTTATTTATTTCATCACCTGGTGGTAACCTTATATCCTGTAAGTAGTCTTTTTTTCTGCGCACATAAGAAAAATTATTTTTCCAAGACTGGAATTATATTATTCAAACTGCTTTGCAATTTGCTGTTAAATAACAGTATAAGTAATGTTATTTAAAAATGTGTACATTATTCTAATTATTTATACTATAATTTATTTAATTAATTGTACATTTTGGGGCACATAGTTTCTGCTACTTTGCTGCTATAAGTAGTATTGATATGCATATCATCGTATGTATATACATTTTTCAAATCCTCAATGCTTTTTCAGTATACATTCTTAGAAGTGGATTTGTTGGGTTAGGGTCTGAAAATTTAAGGCTTTTCATACATATTGCCAAATTGCTCTCCAGAAAAGTTCCAAGTTGCATCTTACTAGTAATATCACAGTGCCCATTTTCTCTATAATCCGATAGATAAAAAAAATGCCAGTTTAATTAGAAATTAAGTTTTAAAATTAATAAAGTAAGAAATAGGAGACTGGATGCGGTGGCTCATGCCTGTAATCCTAGCACTAGGGGAGGCTGAGGTGGGAGGATTGCTTGAAGTCAGGAGTTCAAGACCAGCCTGAGCAAGAGAAAGACCCTGTTTCTACAAAAAAAAGAAAGAAAGAAAGAAAGAAAAATTAGCCGAGCATGGTGGCACACACCTGTAGTCCCAGCTACTCAGGAGGCTGAGGCAGGAAGATCACTTGAGCCTAAGAGTTTGAGGTTGCAGTGAGCTATGCTGATACCACTGTACCACAGTTTGGGTGACAGAGCAAGACCCTATCTCAAAAAAAAGAAAGGAAGGAAGGAAGGAAGAAATAGGAGATACAGCTCTGGTGTGGAATGAAATGTAGCATTATGTATTGAGTACATTGCCTTCTCACTATTTACATTAATTCAGTTAATCATTGTCATTGGGCCGGGCGCGGTGGCTCACACCTATAATCCTAGCACTCTGGGAGGCTGAGGCGGGCGGATTGCTCCAGGTTAGGAGTTCGGAACCAGCCTGAGCAAGAGTGAGACCCTGTCTCTACCATAAATAGAAAGACATTAATTGGCCAACTAATATATAGAGAAAAAATTAGCTGGGCATGGTGGCGCATGCCTGTAGTCCCAGCTACTGGGGAGGCTGAGGCAGGAGGATCACTTGAGCCCAGGAGATTAAGGTTGCTGTGAGTTAGGCTGATGCCATGGCACTCACTCTAGCCTGGGTAACAAAGCGAGACTCTGTCTCAAAAAAATAAAAAAAATCATTGTCGTTTATTCACTTTGCTACTTAGTGTTCTTTATTTGTCTGTATGTCATTGTTCTTTGGTTTACTGCCATTTTACTCTATTCACCTATACCTTTTCACCTAGAGACCAAATGAAAGGGTTGACACTGTATCAGAAAAACCAAGAGAAGACCCAGTACTAAAAGAAGAAGCCCCGGTGAGTTTTTTTATTGAATACTGTCTAACCAAATATGGTGTAAGATAGGCTGGGTGCAGTGGCTCACACCTGTAATCCTAGCACTTTGGGAGGCTGAGGTAGGAAGATGGCTTGTGGCCAGGAGTTTGGGACCAGCCTGGGCAACACAGCTAGACCCCATCTCTACAAAACATAAGAAAAATTAGCCAGGCATGGTGACACATGCCTGTGGTCCCAGCTGTTCAGGAGGCTGACGCAAGAGTATTACTTGAGCCCAAGAGTTCGAGGCTGCAGTCAGCTATTAATAAAATTGTACCACTGCCTTCCAACCTGGGTGACAGAGCGAGCCCCTGTCTGTAAGAAAGATACAATAAATAAATATATGGTGTAAGAAGGGAAACAGTGCTTAAATTGCAATACATTGTATGATTACAGTTCCATACTTCTTTATTTTGGAAATTATACTGAAATAAATCTTGGAGCTAGTTTACAAGATGGATATTTTCAGTGAATTATTTTCCTTTTTAAAAATATGGCCATTTTTTAAATTGATCGTGTGTATTCTCAAGATGCCTTATCAATAATTTGGCAACAGAAACCACCAATCCTATTTTCAGTATTTGGGGTAGGGTTTATTTATTAATTTTTTTCCTCCTTTCTTTTTCTCTTTTGCTAATTTCAGATAGCAGTTATCAGAGAAAAATATAATTGAAGATAAATTTTACATTGTTACCATTTTTAATATACTTTGTACATAGTTTCATTTTTGAAATTTCTCTTCTGATGAATTTTTGTGACCTTTTCTTGTAGGTTCAACCAATAGTATCTTCTGTTCCAACAACAGAAGTGTCCACTGGTGTTAAATTCCAGGTTGGTGATCTTGTTTGGTCCAAGGTGGGAACCTATCCTTGGTGGCCTTGTATGGTCTCAAGTGATCCCCTACTCGAAGTCCATACCAAAATTAACACAAGAGGTAAGAAAAGGCATACATAGTTGTTAAGTAAAAGACTGGGAAAAAGTGATTTTTAAATGTTGTGTGTGAATATAAGAATACAAACATAATATATAATCTGATATAAAAATATACATTTTATATGAGTTTTTAATAACTGGTAAAATAATGACAGTCAACGTTTTTTTTTTTGTTTGTTTGTTTGTTTTTGGTTTTTTTTTGAGACAGAGTCTCACTGTTGCCCAGGCTAGAGTGCTGTGGTGTCAGCCTAGCTCACAGCAACCTTAAACTCCTGGGCTCAAGCAGTCCTTCTACCTCAGCCTCCCGAGTAGCTGAGACTACAGGCATGTGCCGCCATGCCCGGCTAATTTATATATATATATATATATTTTTTTTTTTTTAGTTGTCCAGCTAATTTCTTTCTATTTTTTTAGTGGAGACAGGGTCTCACTCTTGCTCAGGCTGGTCTCAAACTCTTGACCTTGAGCGATCCTCCCGCCTTGGACTCCTAGAGTGCTAGGATTGCAGGCATCAGCCACCGCTCCCAGCCACTATAGTTTTCTTTCAGTCATTCTTTCAAGTAAAAATGGTGTTCTGTGAAAAAGTGTTCAGCTTACTTTGCCACTCAAACAATCACACAAGTACTCTTCCTCAAGATACCTGTTATACTTCAGTATGCAAAGTGCTTTATGCATTCTTCCCATTTCATGACACAGAATATTAAAGAGATATGTATTCAGTGCTTGAGATTTAGTGAAATTAATCATTTTTGCTGCTTCATCAAGTAAGTAAAACTGGCTTTTTTTTTCTAACTGCCAGTGCATAGCTGTGAGGAATGCCATGACATTAGTGCAGTTCAGTGCACTCGATTTGTCTATTCATGCTAAGATGCTAACAGTCTTATCTGTTACTGCTTTTGCACTGTTACTTGCAGATGTCAACACAGTGAAAAAGACAAATAATATCTTGGTATTACAATGAAAATAGTTTTGACTTCATAGGATCCCTGAAAGAGTCTTAGGGACCTGTCCCTCTCCATCCCTGGGTCATATGTAAAACACAGTTTTACGTAACTAGAAAAGCAATTGGACCAGTGTTTGGCTTTTAAAAGTCCAAGAAAACATGTTATTTACTTTTCTTTCTTTCTTTCTTTTTTTTTGAGACAGAGTCTCACTTTGTTGCCCAGGCTAGAGTGAGTGCCATGGCGTCAGCCTAGCTCACAGCAACTTCAAATTCCTGGGCTCAAGCAATCCTACTGCCTCAGCCTCCCGAGTAACTGGGACTACAGGCATGCGCCACCATGCCCGGCTAATTTTTTCTATATATATTAGTTAGCCAGTTAATTTCTTTCTATTTATAGTAGAGATGGGGTCTCACTCAGCTGGTTTCAAACTCCTGACCTTGAGCAATCTGCCTGTCTTGGCCTCCCAGAGTGTTAGGATTATAGGCATGAGCCACCGTGCTAGCCTGTTACTTACTTTTCAAAGGAAATACTATTTATTTAAACCAGGATTTGTTTGTAAAAAGATTTGAGTCAAATAAAAATAAATTTTATGACCAAAGTAATAAATCTGATAATGAGCAAAATTTTTGCTTTTTCTTCTGTTAAAACTTACTGTACTAATTTTGATCTTTGGGGTGATTTCTACAGTAGTCCTTAGTTCTGTAATTGGTAGGTACTGGAAAATATCTTTGGACAATCCAAAAGGTACACATTTTAATGGGAGTAATACTGAGGAACCTGGGTTAGATCCTCATTTTTGGCAAAGTATATTTAGATAATTGTGTTTTGAAATAGTTAAATATTCTGAAATAGTTAATAAGAATTTTTACTTACAGGTGCCCGGGAATATCATGTTCAATTTTTTAGCAACCAGCCAGAGAGGGCTTGGGTTCACGAAAAGCGGGTACGGGAGTATAAAGGCCATAAACAGTATGAGGAATTACTGGCTGAGGCCACCAAACAAGCCAGCAATCACTCTGAGAAACAAAAGGTAACTAATGCATGTTAATATTATTAATCTAATACGGTTTTTAAGGGACTTAATAATTTAGAATAATTTTTCATACTTGAATTCAGATGATTGTCAGCATGATTTTTCTTTTATTTAACTCCTTTAAAGCTTGATTTCAGTCTTAATGGTAGGTGATCAGTAAGTTTGTAAGTACATCAGTAAGTTTTATATGTCATATAGACAACTTGTAGTACTATTAGAAACTTTAAGTACCTGCTTAATACAATAGTGGATTCTGGTGTAAATTGAATTAATGAGCATAAGTCTTCCATATGCTAATGAAATATGGAATTTTAATGAAATGAAAATTTTGCTGGGGATTTTTAGTCTTTTTCCTATTTCAGCATTTTTCTACAATTTCTCTTTATTCTTATTTAGCAAAATTGTCTTACAAAAGTAAAGTTTTAAAAATATTTAGTGAGTACCTACTCTGAAACAGGTATTGTTTTAAGCATTTTGTTATGTTAATTCATTTAATCTTCATAACAACCTGTATGAGATAGATACTATTCCTTTTTTTACAGATGAAGTTATTGAGGTGTAGAAAGCCTAAGTAACTGGTTCAACCAAGATCATGCAAGTGATGGAATCAGAAAATATGTTTGATGTAGTGGTGGATGTTTTAGAATTTTGACATGAACTCTTAATAACCTGCTTGAGATTTTAAACTCAACTAATTGTAGTGTGGTTCACTTGTGATTCAGAAATTTGTCATTTTTACATTCAAAAGTTAAATTTTTTGATAGGATTTTGATTAATTTTATCAGATATACATATTAGAGATTTATTTATCAGTATTTGACATATACTATGCTATCTTATAGTTTCATTAACTAATTTCTGGCTACCTCAGTTTAACCACCTGGATAATTCCTAATCGCTTTGGTCATCTCACCTTTATTCAATGTTTTCTTACCTCTCTTGCCAATAGAAAACCTTCTGATCAACTCTGAACCTGGAGACCTATAAAAACTGTGATTTGGGGTTTTTTTTTCTCATACATGCCTGTTGTCCTTTGTCTAGTCAGCTTTCATTTATTCCTTGGGGATGTCTCCTTCCACTTCTTTACGTCCCTGTTTGCATTATGGTGTAATTAGCAGTGTAATTTCAAATGTTGGTTCTCTGCCAGTGAGCTTAGCTGAGATCTCTGTAGCACCCCTGACTAATCCCCTGCCCCTATATATGGGGGAGAAATGGGAGCTTTGGGGTGTCATTTTTATTTATTTATTTATTTATCTATTTTTTGAGACAAAGTCTCATTTTGTTGCCCAGGCTAGAGTGAGTGCTGTGGCATCAGCCTAGCTCACAGCAACCTCAATCTCCTGGGCTCAAGCAATCCTCCTGCCTCAGCCTCCCCAGTAGTTGGGACTACAGGCATGCACCACCATGCCCAGCTAATTTTTTGTGTATATATATATATTAGTTGGCCAATTAATTTCTTTCTATTTATAGTAGAGACAGGGTCTCACTCTTGCTCAGGCTGGTTTTGAACCCCTGACCTCAAGCAGTCTGCCTGCCTCAACTTCCCAGAGTGCTAGGATTACAGATGTGAGCCACCGTGCCCGGCCCTAGGGTGTCATTTTTAATGTTAGTCTTTTATTAGTCACTGAAAGTGATCATTTTTTAAATCATTCTGCTGTTTTCCTTCATTATCACTAGATTTTTATGATGTGAGAAGGATGACTCCCTCTTTGGGGGACTTGGCCAGAAGAGTGATCACCAAAGGAAAGGTTTATAAAAGATTGTAGAATTTCATGTCTGATAGACTAATACTAATTTATCAAAATTATGGAGTTAGAACATTTTACTTATTACCAGAGAACCTGAAGGTATTTATGTGTAACTGAGAAGACAACAGGATCACATGGGAAATACATGTGGGTTTTAATGTACCTATTAGATTAAAGCATGTCTGATAATCCCTGTGTCTTTTTTAAAGATTCGAAAACCTCGGCCTCAGAGAGAACGTGCTCAATGGGATATTGGCATTGCCCATGCAGAGAAAGCATTGAAAATGACTCGAGAAGAAAGAATAGAACAGTATACCTTTATCTATATTGATAAACAGCCTGAAGAGACTTTATCCCAAGCGAAAAAGAATGTTGCCTCCAAAGCCGAAGTTAAAAAAACCCGAAGACCAAGATCTGTGCTGAATACTCAGCCAGAACAGACCAATGCAGGGGAGGTGGCCTCCTCACTACCAAGTACTGAAATTCGGAGGCACAGCCAGAGGCGGCACACAAGTGTGGAAGAGGAAGAGCCACCTCCCGTTAAAATCGCCTGGAAAACAGCGGCAGCAAGGAAATCCTTACCAGCTTCCATCACAATGCACAAGGGGAGCCTGGATTTGCAGAAGTGTAACATGTCTCCAGTTGTGAAAATTGAACAAGTGTTTGCGCTGCAGAATGCTACAGGGGATGGGAAATTTATTGATCAATTTGTTTATTCAACGAAGGTACCCCCTTTTTTCATAGGGTTTCTTGGGGATGCTATTTCAAAAGTAGTCAATCTTGGCATTTAAAGAAAAAACAACACAAGGGGACAATTTAAATGCCTTTTGTATGTTTGTATTCACTGCATTTGAAACATACAGTTTATTCTGTGGATGAAAAAGGCTATGTTTTTCTTCTTTCCCCCCCTCTTTTGTAATATTCCCATCTGCAATAGATTAATCTTGAGCTGTACAGCCAGAATTGAGCTTAGCTCCCTAAAGTCATGGAAGAAATCTGGGCACTTTGCCTGTTTCTAGTTTGTATAGTTAGTTTTCTTAGTTGCAAAGTTTGTTTCTTATTAATATCTTCATTGTCAGCTGTCTGAATTAACCACTGTTATAAAAGCCACTGGAATAATTGTACCTGCTGACTTGTTTGGTTGCACCAGCAATTTCATTAGACTCTTGTTGACTTGGGATACCTAACTGTGTTTTAGGGAAATCCCGGAACTTTGTTCTGTAACAGTTAGCTGTGGGGATGGTTTGGGTAGTGAGGTGGAAATAGCCTATACAAACCGAGTGCCTCCATCACTTTGCCCTGAGCCTCCATTTAGGGCACTTATACTTTAGGTTTAAGACTTTAAGACTCTTTCGTAACATTGGTAATATTTATTCCATATAACTCTTTACCATCCTCCCCACCCACACCACAGTTTGGGTTTGTGATTTCAGTCTAGTTGTGTCTCATGCATGTGTACTTCAAAGAGAATTCTGTGCTTATGTTTTTCCTAACATAATCACATGTTCATTAAAATAATTAAATATAGGCATGCCTCATTGGTAATATATTTTCCCAAAGAGAAATGTTAAGGGTGCTCTATTAACCTGTTCCTGCCCATTGGTTCAGTTGATCTCAGTAAGGCCTAAGCTACCTATAAAAATTTAAGTTGTTGCCCCCACTTGGTTCTCTTGATAGCAAATGACTATTTCACATCTTTTGAATAACAAATGAATATTTTATATCTTTTTTGAATGCAAATTGGCTTTATTTTTGGAGCTAGTTTTATCTGCTTCTAGATGCACAAATCAGACAGTCACTACCTCTCCAAAGAATGCCATTTAAGAGAAATTCAAGACAAAAACTGATCTTTTAAAAATGAAAGCTTTAAAAGCATACATATATTTATAAATCACTCCTTCTATTTCATGATATTAAAAATACTTAAAATGAGACCTAAATTAATTATACCTGCCTTCTGTCTGCTCCATATCACTTACTGGGTCACATTTTGGTCACCATCCATGACATATTTCTGTACCTAAGGATATTCTGATCTCTTAACACATGACATTTTTGTCTGTGTAATAGGGCACTTTACCGAATCAAAACGACTAGAGCTCTCTTACTGTGAGTAAAGGAAGAAACTGTTCAGACCAGAAAATATTTTTTTTTGACAGAAAATTGGGTGATACAGGTTCAGGTAAAATATAAATATCACCTGGACTTATTAGACAAATAGTGTTGCCCCGAACATGATCTCATTGTACATTTTAGACCATATCTTGATGACTTAATAAAATTGTTCTGATAATAGCTAACATAATAAATTAATTGTAATCAAAGGCCATATAAAATTTAAGCAAATTATGATCATTTCAAGCCTTTTTTATAAGCATATGATGCCATTTGCCTAATAATCACGTATTTTTTATTTTGCCTTATCTTAAAGGGAATTGGTAACAAAGCAGAAATAAGCGTCAGGGGGCAAGACAGACTTATAATTGCTACACCAAACCAGAGAAATGAAAAGCCAACACAGAATATATCGTCTCCTGAAGCAACATCTGGTCCTACAGGTGGGTACAAAGAGTATATAGATCCATTTTGAGAAGTCATAGTTCCGTTCTGCTATAACATGGTAGCTGTGTTCCTAAGAAACTTTTAGTTATCAAAAATAAATTATATTTGTAAGATTGAATTACAAAAGCAATTATTTCAATAGGAAAGAATGAGTGAGGGACTAGAGAGCTTTATTCATAGTGAGTTATTTTTCCTGTAGGAACTTAAATAATAGGAGGATTTTATAATTAAAAGTATAGATATAAAATCTATACATATCTGACTAAATATGCCATTTGATTATCTCTCTTTGCATGAGAATAACAGCCTTACTTTTCTAGCGGTATTAATGCATTCTTACCATTTCCTCCTTTACCCCTATTGGAAACAAACTGGCGAATGCAGAGCGCTTCTCATTGTTCCCAGGTGTGCTAGATGTTAGTAGCTGAGGGGCCTCGGGCCTGACTGTCCTGATGTAACCTGTTCTCTGATTAACAGAGACCATGAATTGAAAATCAAGCTAGGTTATTCTTGCTTAAAGGAGAAGTGCCTATATTTAGTACATTTGTGCCTTTGCAATATTTAAAATAATTTTTTTAAGAGACTGACTTACTAAGGATTTTAGAGTTTTAATTGAATGTCTGGTGGGTTTGGTTTATATAACAGTATTACACCAGTAATATTTCTGTAATGCTACTTCATATAGCCATCAAGAAAGGAATTAGGTATTAACCAGCTTGTACATTTGGAATCTTAGAAGAAAGGAGTTTGTTTCATTTTGTTCTTTTAAAATATTTTTGGCATCTAAGAAGTAACTGTAATAGAAAAAAAGACAAACTGTTTTCTGTCCTACTACGCTGTCACCACTGAACACACTTCTCAGCCCAGATGGGTGGGTCCCCCCCCCCCCCGACCAATTCTCCAACACCAGTTGAGTCCTGTGATTAATTCACTTCTCACACTGCCCACCTGGAGTTAGAGTCAGATCCCTCAAGTAAGAGCTCAGTCCCACAAGACTGCCTCCACTTGAGATGCCACTTGCAACTGACCAGCTATAAATTGTGGATTCTCACAACCTTCTCCTTGGGTTCAATGATTTGCTAGAGCAATTCACAGAACTCAGGAAAAGCTTTGCTTGCATTAGCCAGTTTATTATAAAGGGTATGCAAAGGGTACAGATGAACAGCCAGATGAAAGAGGTGCACAGGAAAAGGGTTGCAGAGTTCCCATGCCCTGCCTGGGCACACTGTCCTCCAGGCACCTCACATGTTCAGTGATCCAGAAGTTCTCCAAACCCTATAATTTAGGAATTTTCATGGAGGCTTTATCATGTAGGCATGACCAATTGTTAACTCAGTCTCTAGCCCCTATTCCCTTCTCAGAGGATAGAGGGGGTTGGAGCTGAAAGCATCTACTCATGGCTTGGTCTTTCTGGCGAGCAGCCCACATCCAGAAGCCCACCAACAGTTGCCTCATTAGAACAAAAGACACTCCTATCACCCAGGAGGTTTCAAGAGAGTTCTGCGTCAGGAACCAGGGTCAAAGACCAAATATTAGAACAAAAAATACACTGAGGTTGGGTGAAGTGGCTCACGCCTGTAATCCTAGCACTCTGGGAGGCCAAGGTAGGAGGATCGCTCAAGGTCAGGAGTTTGAAACCAGCCTGAGCAAGAGTGAGACCCTATCTCTACTAAAAATAGAAAGAAATTAATTGACCAACTAAAATATATAGAAAAAATTAGCCAGGCATGGCGGCGCATGCCTGTTAGTCCCAGCTACTTGGGAGGCTGAGGCAGGAGGATCGCTTGAGCCCAGAAGTTTGAGGTTGCTGTGAGCTAGGCTGACGCCATAGCACTCTAACCTGGGCAACAGAGTGAGACTCTGTTTAAAAAAAAAAAAAAAAGAGATACGCTGAGCACCCATACCATGCAGGAAATTACAAGGGTTTTAGGTGTTCTATGCTATTATCCAGGAGCAGACACCAAATATATATTTTTTATTATATCACAAAATCATAGTGACCAAAGTGACTTTGGATGGATCACAGACTTAAGACCTGAGGATACACCTATAGTTCCAGCTACTTGGGAGGCAGAGGCAGGAGGATCACTTCAGCCCAGGAGCTCGAGGCTGCAGAGAACTATGATTGCACCACTACACTCCAGTCTGGGCAACAGAGCAAGACTCGTCTATTAAAAAAAAAAAAAAGACCTGAAGTAGTAATCTTGAATCAATAGTAACTCAGGCAAACCTGTGATTAAGCAGCATGAAGGGGTAAATATTATTGTAAGGGAAATTTAAGTAGTCAGATTTTAATTATTAAAAAAGCAAAATAAAAACAGTCACTACTCAGAAAAGGACTTGGGCTAGCTTTCTTAAAAAGGAAATGATGGGGGCTGTAAGACAGGGAGGGGTGGTGGCAGCAGAGCTGGGGCACACGTTGAATGGGGCACGTGGAACAGCAGGAAACTGAATTAAAGAAAAGACGGAGCAGCAAAGTCCAGATCAGAATCACAACTTGTATCATTTCAGAATAATGCACAAAAAGATGCAATTATAGAGTTTAGGAATGGACTTAGAAGATTTTGCATTAATTAGCCATAATTGAAAATATTATTCCCTTATTTGAATATTAAAAGAATGTTTTGGCCTCAGCTTTCCATAGCTAGGTGTATCAGTTTTGTTGTCTCTCTTTACACTAAATTGTTAGTAAATTGTCTGAATTTAAGTGGGATACCTAGACTAGGTGAGTCTTTACTTAAACATCTATAGTCTCTTAACCAGAGAGAAAGTAAAATCTTCATATAACATTAGATTCATCTTAACTTGAATATTATGCTTTTATTTTTAATGGAGCTTGTTTTTTTCCTTCACCTTAGCTAGTGAACATTTTATCTTCATGTAGTTTTTTCATGGTAAGATTTAAGATCTGCTATGAATTTTTACTTTCTTTTTTTAACTGGAAGGTTATAATTCTTTATATCTGGAAAAAGGCAGCCTGGTTTCTTCCTTAGGCAGGCACATGTAATTTAGGTTGTAAATTAAGATTGGAAACTTAATACAGGGATGGGTGCTCTAAGCTTTGACCTTGGTTTAAGTTTAGTTATCAGCTTTTGGTTAAAAGCATATTTTGTCTTCTTAAATGACCATTTTGCTTTTTGTGAAAATAGCTTCAAAAGTAGTTGAAAAGTCAGAAAGGAGGTCTGTTCTACTTTCAGAAATCAATTGCATCATCATCTTAGCTGCTGTTAGCTGCTTAAGGAAAATTCTTGAGCCTTTTCTTAGTGAATTTAGGGGGTACGTAATATGTGGCACTGCCACATTTCTGTGGTTTGAAGAATTATATTTGCATTCACACTAGATTTCTAAGCTATTTTCCAAACCTAGAAATGCTCACTTCTCTTTCTTAGAACATGAACATAATACTTTTTTGTGGTTTTAAATGTATACGTTCTTTGAGTAACCTTCATTAAGTCATGTTGCCTAAGACAGTGGATCAAATCTTCTCAGTGCTTCCTGGTACAGTTATATTGTCATCCTCAATACAAATAAAGATTTTTTGTTTATTTTTAAGTAATTCCATTTTCACTTTTGTCTTTCTTGATAGTACTTGAGTACTGATGATTAAAGTACAGATCTCTGGGATCCTCGGGTTGGTCTAGGAGGGTAGAATACCTGTTGTCTTAGTAAACATTTTCATTAGTCTGAGGAGAAGATTGAATAAAGAAAGAAACCAGCACCTTTACTGGTGACTACTGTGCTATAAATTGATTAGCTAGAGCTCCAAAACAATATATTATCAAACTACTCTTTCCCTAAAACAAAGTAGTGGGATCCTTTTTCTTTTGGCTTTGAACTAAGGTAAGGCAAGCCATTTACACAAAGCCAAGAGCAAGGAAACCAGAAAATAGGAAGGTTATATGGAAAGCTTTATTGAAGTAGCTTCTGTCTGATTTTATGGGCAGTCTTAATAGCTTTTTCCTGTGGCAAGCCAGAGGTGGTTCTTATCTAAAAAGGACCATTTAGGTGGTGCAAGCGCTGAAGCCACGGAGAACAGCCGCACTGCAGGCATCATTCCTTCTCAGGGCCACAGAATGAAATCATCCCTTAGTGTTCTTTGAAGTTGTGGTCTTCAATCTTAGTTTTATCCTTTTCAAAAATGGGGTCCATGTGACTTTTTTTCCATTTGCTTTTAAAGAATTGTACTCTTTAAAAATCTTAATAGTTTCTATTTTACCATTTAACATGGAGAAGCTTGATTATTCGTTTCGGTTAGTTTTCCATGACTATTAAGTATAACAAGTCCTTTGATAGTCAAATTAATGATTAAGTTTTGGTCACATTTTTGTGCTTTTCCTACTTTGGTTGTTAATAAAAATAGCAAATCTTATATAAGTACACTAAGCACTATTAACCATTTTACATATAGACTTAATTGAACTTATTTATTAAAATGTAAAATGTTTTACTAGTTGAATTTTGAACCAATAATACCTAATGTCAGCTAGGTAATGAAGTCATTTTTACCCATCCCTTCTGTCCCTTCATCCCCTTAATTATACGTAACTAGGCATGTTTACCTGCTTCTAAAACTAAACTATGTCTCTCCTGTTTTAGTTTGACTTTATAATTTATAAAAATCCTATCCCTCTTTATTTGTATAATTTGAGATTCTGTGTCTCAGCTCATCAGCCTTTACAATTTGATCTATTAAAGAAATTTTGTGCTCCCAAGTGTTTAACAGCTTTCTAATGATTTACTGTTAAAATTCTAAAAGTAGGTAAGAAAAGCAAGGAATTTGGTTAAATCTTAATTACGTAAATGTCAAGGTGTTCTTAAATGAATTTTTGTTTGTTTAAATCATCTCTTAGGCTCAGTAGAAAAGAAGCAACAGAGAAGATCAATTAGAACTCGTTCTGAATCAGAGAAATCCACTGAGGTTGTGCCAAAGAAGAAGATCAAAAAGGAGCAGGTTGGCTTCCTACATGTAGAGAGTTAAAACATTGTATTTGTAAATGTTGTGGCTTCTATTGGTATCCTAAAAGAAAGAGAAGCTGTCCCCCACACACTGGGTTTCCTTTCTGGACTATCTTACGCTCCTGTCCTGGAGGGTTGCAGTGCCCAATCGTGGTAGAACCATCCCTGTGATTCTGCTTCAAGCATTTTCACAGAAAACAGTCAGGCTTCAGGAGACGGGAAGCCAGTGGTACAAGACTCTTAAATAATCCTTCACATTTATTTTGAAATTTCTGTTATGAGCAAAATGATTTCATGTTTTTATGATTTTTATTTGGAACCATTATTGAGTTCCTTTTTTTTAATTTTGATTTTTGGTTTAAAGCTGCTGGTATGTATTGTTTTTATTTTTTTAAACCAGTCAAATTAATTTAATTTATATTCTTATATTTAAGAAGCAGATAATCATAGATGATCTGGTTTTTCTGTTAATATCACAGATTTTTTGGAATGTTATTTTCCCAGTGGAATGGCACTCACCCGATATCAAGTTGTCAGATAAACAATATTTAAGTAAAAAAGGTAGGGAGTGCATTTTTACTGAGGTGTAATCCAGTGTAATCAATGTAGTAGTATACATGTTAAATTACCTTTTTCAAAGAAATTTTTAGAAACTATTCTCCTTTAAGCTCACAATCAGATTCTTTTCTTAATTATTTTAAAGTGAAAGAATATCCATTTTTGCAGCCTAGATACCTGCTATTAAAACAAATTCTGAATAGAATTAGTTCCAATAAGTTTTATATTTTTAAAACCATTTAATATGGAAGAACGTGGACTTTTTATTAAAATATTTCCTTCAAAATTTTAAACTTCCAAATTTAAAATCTAACTTTGTGGGTGCTGTATGGTATTGCCAAGCATGTAAGACAAATTTTCCAGAATATTTAACAAAAATTTAAGTAATATACTAATTTGTCATTCATTTATCATATTAACTTTCATACTTAGGAAATTATATTCCAAAAAATCTTTCTAAGCTCTTGCAAATCTACAGTATTCATTACCAAGATGAAGTTGTGATTTTTGCCAGCTGGTTCCCAAATTCAATCTGTGACCAGTCATTTTAAAATTAATAAGCAGAATGAGTACAAAAATGGGACAAATTGTTAATGCCACTGTGTTATAGCTAGTAGTAGAATAATGCCAGTGATTGTTTAGAAAATTTTATATTTGTATTACTAATTGTATCTTATAAAAGCGTTTCTGTTGTATGTTTTTTTACCTGTTGTAAAAAAAATAAAAAAATTTTTTTAAAAAGCTTAGAACAATCCTTAAATATTTACAAAATGTGTTTCAACATGCATATTTCACCACATCTTCAAAAAACATGAAATTCAATTCATAGATTAAACAGGAACTCCTCCAAACAGCATCCTTTCTCTAATTCCAGTGATTCAATCCTCAAATTACCACGTGTTTTACATATACATTGGCAGAATAACTTCTGATCTCGCTCTCCTAATGTAGGATCAAGACACTGTTCATAAGACACTCAAGAAAGTGCTTTTGCAATATCACAAACTTATTTTCTTAAGTTTGTACTAGCAGCAAAAGTATTGAGCTTGCAGCTGTATGGAGCCCTGTAGCACTCTCTACAGAGAGGGTCCTGATTCCCAGCAACTTAGCTGTGAGTGCAGGCGCGGAAGGGTCTTAAAGTGGCGTGAGTTACATTAACCTGAGTATCATAGTAAGTAAAAATTTATCCTAACGTCTTTGGGGCGGGAGGGGTTTATAGCAACACTGGGGCTGGTTGCAGAAACAACCCCTCTCCTGCCTCCCAGACACTGAGGAAAGTATTCTTGTTCTCTTCATATACCAAGGGAATGGTGGGCAAAGTCTTTGCTAGAGAGCATGTGGCTGTGTGTTGTCACTTGGTGTTCAGCATAGGCAGCTAGGATGTACACCCTCCCTGACCTTGAGACAGAGAACTTTACCCGGAATACGGGACTGAGTTCAGATTTCAGATACATTAATCACTCATCATTACTTAGATGTATGAAAGTATTTTTTCTCTCTGTTAATAATTAAAAGTGCTAAAAATTCCTTGTTAATGCTGTGTTTTTCTGTCCAAACAGGTTGAAACAGTTCCTCAGGCTACAATGAAGACCGGATTACAGAAAGGTGAGTTAATATTATAATGTTGCTTTGCAATTCCTTGATTAAAACCAATTTTTAAGAATTACTTATTTGTACTTCATGTATTTTTGTCTGTCTCTGTAAATCATTGTTGTTGCTCTTCAGTGTGAAATTGCAGTATTCCCCGGTGTTTGTGTGCGTGTGCGTGTGTGTGTGTGTGTGTGACTTATAGAGTTGATCTTACTCTTACGAAAAGTAAGTCTCTTATCAAAAATGAAAAGTCTTATTTGTTTTGGTAAATTGGAGAACACCACGTAGACTTGATACTGTTTCCAGCTTTTCTCCATAAGATTCTGGGGTTTCACTGGCTTATAAACTAGGGATGTGACGAATCCACTTTTTTAGGTATTCGACTGAATACCGAATAGTAGCTATTAATGTTTGTCAAACATGGACTATGACAAATCAGACAAGACAACCTGATTGAAAAAATCTTGCCACATTTATTTTGACAGTGCTGTAAAATCTTTTTTTGTAAATTAAAATGATTCATAGCATATTTATGGCCACTATTAGATGACCTTATGTGAATCTATTTGAGATATGCACAAAGTTTAAGAAACCTTAAACTTAAATCTGTATTTTCTGTGTGCAATTTGACTACAGTACAAACTCCATAGCATGATTCATGCGTTTTTGGTGAGCTCAAACTGTATTTATACCTGTAGTTTACTCTGGGCAAATTGCATTATTTAAAAAAAATAAAACACCAGCCTCTCTGCATTCTCGGGGAGAAGTCTGCAGCGATGGTCTCCGTGGAGATCCTCAGCAGAACTGAACAGCCTCTCGGAGGGAACACTGCTTGGCGGAGCTCCAAGAAAAGGCATCGCGATCGCTGCGAGATTAGGAGGCCTGATTGCGTTGTGTTTCCACCATTCCACAGGGTCGGCGGACCGGGGAGTGCAGGGCTCTGTCAGATTCAGTGACAGCTCCGTCTCCGCAGCGATTGAGGAAACTGTGGACTGAGATTCCTGTACAATTTCATCCCAGAAACTCCAGACTTGTAGTCTCCATGCAAGATTTCTTTGTCGGCTGCTTGATAAACAGTTTCTTTGTTTTCGATTTTGATTTTGCCAGTCGTCATTATTGGCATTTTCCTGCCTGGTTTCTTCTTCAAGACTCTGAACAATTGCTTTAACATTCAAATGATTTTTTTTTTTTTTTTGGTCTGAGCTGGATGGGTACAGCTTTTAAATCATGGGTCCAGCCTAAAAACCATCGTTTAACTTACACTGATCAATTTCAACATGGACTGTTTTTGGTTTTTTGTTTTTAAATAAAGCATCATTAATGCACATCTGCAGGGTTTTGCCAAACAGCCCAACTGTATACATTACAATCATTAAAAGCTTTTTTTTAAATATTAGTGCCGTTGTCATGGAGAACAGCATGACAGCTGCCTTTGGCAGTCTGTCATTTTTCTAGCATTTTCAGAAACTCATCGGAAATGGCGGTACCTGTGTTTCCCTTCGAAAGCCTCTCAGTACAGCACTCCTGTTCCTCTGTTAAACTCCTTGTTAATCCAGTGATCTTTTAGGCCAAGGAAATATTTTGTGGTGGTGTTTTGGGTCCATACACCAGCAATGAAGGAGATAGATTTGTGTACTTGTGTTTTTAAATCAGCGTTAACATGGGCAGGCACCCTCATTTATAGATGTCAGGAAACATTCAGTGAAAACCTTGTAGAATGGGATGTGATAACGAGGTTCCAGTAATCTGAGCAGTCTGACGAGGCCCACATCCTCCAGCACAGACCGTGGCTGTGCACCAAGTGCTGCTCTCACTCGGCCTGGCTCGGATCTTCTGGCCTCTGGAGACCTGTTTCTCCCTGGTCTCTTCTGGACTGCACACTTCCACCATAGCTTGCTGGGCTGGTCTAGATGTCTGTTTGTTGTATGGAAATTCTGGGGGAAAAAAATCCAAAACACAAACTGTGGGTTGAAATATTAACCGTCTCCTTGGTTCCTTGGTATTCACCGTGCCTGATCTGCACATTTCATCGTGGCTGTTTCTGTATAGCCTATACTGCATTAGCCCAAGAGATTGTTGCTTTGTAACTTTTTGCACTATTGTTTTGGCTGGATTTGTATTACACACAGTTTTAAAAAAAAAAAAAATTCCACACTACTCTCTGCCTTTTTTTTCCATATTTATTCCTTCCCGCACAAATTCCACATAGAGGCCTCCTATCCAGCTCTACGTGATCTGGCTGCACTTGAACACTGATTGTCTATTTACAACCCTCGCAGTGCGCCTCCTAAATGGCATGACATATGTAGCTGTGCTGCAGCACTTGTTAATGGTCACAATAAATGCCACTTCACCAAGGAAATCTCAGATGAACAATTATGAACATCCAAAATTTATTTGGGGGGGTGATAATCAACTGAATTGCAAAATTCAGGGGAAAATGGCACTATCCGTGTACGAATCGAATACAAATCAAAGATTTGTCACATCCCTAATAAAAACAAGATGGAGATGTCTCTGCGACCATATTTGTAAGCTACACAGTGTGTTGGGTTTTATGTCTTCCCCCTCCAAATTGAATGGTTCTTTGAATTGCTCCAAATCAATCAGCTATCCTGCAGTTTTGATAGAATTGGTTTTTAGGTTGGAACTTGGGCTCTATTGACTGAAGATAGCTTTAGAGCAGGAGAACTGAATTAAATGTTTTGATAGAGCGGTTGTAAATTAAATCACTCACTACCAGGAGGGTCAGAAGCTTATGAAGTTTTGACTCATGACGTCAGTGTTACAAAGACAGCTGTGCTTTTTTCACACTAAAGATGAGTTTGGGGAAAGAATATATTCTCCCACAAAAAAAAAAACAAAAAACAATTAAAACAACTTTAAGCACTATTTTAGGATTAATTTCAGTGTGTTGTATTAAGGTGCCAGCGAGATTTCAGATTCCTGTAAACCTCTAAAGAAAAGGAGTCGCGCCTCAACCGATGTAGAAATGACTAGTTCAGCATACAGAGACACATCTGACTCCGATTCTAGAGGACTGAGTGATCTGCAGGTAAATATGTTCAAAGGTCTGCACACACTGCTCTTTTTGCTTTGCAAGACCAAAGTACCATAATGCTTTGCCTGACTTACTTGGAAAAAATAAGGGAAAATTTTTAAATACTCATAGGATACCCAAATCACTTTGGTTATTTCGTAATTTAAGAGGGCCATGCTTTTGTTGTTCTTTTATATAATAGAAGTATAGTTTGTCTTTAATTTTAACTACAGTTTCTCCCCAAACTGTAGAGATACGGTATCCATAGTTTTTAGAAAGAAAGAGAGGATGAATGAAGTTGTGTCAGGATTTATTTGAGAAAGTCTTACTAGGATTTTCATAGCATCTAATTTTGAGAGAATTTTTGTTTTGTTTTTCTTAAAAATGTGCTGTGTTTTCTGTGTAGGTAGGCTTTGGAAAGCAAGTAGATAGCCCTTCAGCTACTGCAGACGCAGATGTTTCTGATGTCCAGTCCATGGATTCAAGCTTGTCAAGAAGAGGCACTGGCATGAGTAAGAAGGACACTGTATGTCAGGTAGGCAGGTGACGGTTGGTCCTACGGCTTGAAACTAGGGTTTTCATATTCTGCCAATAATAGACTTACCTCCTGTTAAAGAGGGTAGTATGTTTCTAAATTACGGTTTGATTTCATAGCCGAAGATCTGAAAACTCTTTCTAGCTCTTCTCTTAACACGCAAGTGCCAGTCTTCATTGTGATAAACTGTTATTAATTGGAAGTAAATGGCAGATGACTAATTTTGAAACTTTTCTTAAATTTGAGTTCATATTAACTTTTTAAATGTATTTTTACCCTTTTTGAAAAATACTGTTTTGCCTTGTGAAGAAACATGAAAGTATGCAGATCTCAAAGAAGAGTCATAAAAGATCAAGTATGACTTTTAAACTTTTTACCATATTGGGTCTGGAAATACTGCAATTGTCTAGTTCACTGGTTCTCAAAGCAAAGGCTAAGGAACAGCGGCATTGTCAGGATACTGTTAGAAATGCAAATTCTTGGGCCCCAGCCCAGACCTACTGAATCAGAGCCTTTGGGTGAGGGACCCAGTAATCTGTTTCAAACAAGCCCTTCGTGTGATTCTGATGTTTGTTAAAGTTTGAGAACCATTGCCTTTTGCCGTATTGCAGATCTGTGAAAGCTCTGATGACTCTCTGATTCCTTGTGAGGGAGAGTGCTACAAACACTTTCACCTGGAGTGCCTGGGGCTGACGTCACTCCCTGAGGGCAAGTTCATCTGTGTGGAATGTAAAACCGGTAAGCTTACCTTGACAGATATGGAAAGACAACGGGGAGGAAGAGGAATGTGCAGTGGCAGCAGTTCCCGTGCATCAAATACTCATCACTTTTATCTGCTCCTCCTCCCCTCCCGTAGTTGTTTCACCAAATTTATTGATACCAGTCAATGATTAGGTTTCCTAAGATCAAAAAAGTAGTCAAATTTCCTCCTACCATAAAATCTAGCAAATTATTGAGATGAATTTGTTTTTATCTAAAAAGTCATACAAAGTATGTGCATTGAGTTATTTTTCAGATGGGTTTGAGACTCTTTGTGCTCAATAAATTGGTTTCAGGTCCTTAATGGACTGGAGCAAGTATCAATCAAAACTTATAACCCTTGTGATTGTATTTTTTAGTGGAAATATGGAGCTTCTGGAAACATTTTTTGAAACTCAAGATTCACCAGTTATTTCTTATCCCACTATCCTTAGCATACCACCTCTCAAAATAATTTATAGAAAAATAAATGTACTAGTTTCTTCTCTATGTAGCCGTGATGCTGGTCAAAGTCATGGGAAGCAGGAAGTGGTTGTTCAACCTGTAACACCATGGAAGTGAAAACTCAATGGGGGATGGTGTGGTAGTGCCTCTAGGAATGGTGTGTGCGCTCTCTGTTTGCTTCGGTTTTGTTGTCGCTGTGAAGAACTAAGAGTTGATTGGATATGAAGTATATATGATAGGCTCATCTCACCCATGACTCTTTATTTTCCTATGCATTTATTTTGATTCTCACGGATATTTATTTTATTCTTTTTATTTGATTGTTTGCCTCTTAAAATCCTTTAGACAAAAAGTTGGCAATTTTTTTTTTTTTTTACCAAACATTGATTTACCAACTACCAGGTGCTGTCAATACTAGGCATTTTATCCTAGTATCTTATTTGATCCTCATAACATTATGAGATATAGGTATTATTATTTCCATTTTTCAGAAGGGGAAACTGAGGAATAGAGAGTTTAGTACCCTGCCCAAAGCCACAAAGGTAGCATATGAAAAAACTGGAATTTAAACCCAAGCAGCTTGACTTCACAGTCCTTGCACTTTACTATTGCCTTCTACCCCCTTGGCTAAGTAGGATGGACATCATATGTCACAAATCATATACCCTAGCACAGACACACACTCAGTCACATACACAGATTAAGCCATAGAAGCTGTTTAGAACGTTTGACGTATTTTTCCTATGTAAAATATTTTACTCATCACATTTGGACTCTGCAATAAAACTTTTGAACAGTTTGCCAACTGACAGTCTCGGTAACAATTGCACAGTGTTTTATTTGGCCCTCAGAATGTGTTTTCATTTTTGAACATGGATTGGGCATATACTTCTGGCTCCCCACATTTCCAGTTATTCCTTTTTCTAAACCTCTGTCACTCCAGTCACTTAGGTAACCTGCATGGCCCCTTTAAGCATTCAAGTATGTAATCCCAAATTTAAACTATTGATAGGAAGGACCATGTATCTCAGTATTAAAACATAATTATGACTCCTTTCTTAACTCTAGAATCTAGTAGAATTCTGCCAAAAGAGGTTAGATATAATCCAGTTTGGTATATATCTATTAGGAAATTTAGGAGGGAAATATGCTTTAAAAATAATTAAGTAGAGCAAGGTTGGAGGACTCATACTTCCTGATTTCAAAGTTTACTACAAAGCTATAGTCGTCCAAACAGTGATAGTGGCATAAAGACAGACATGCAGACCAATGGAATAAATAGACTACAGAGCCAGAAATAAGTACTTGCATATATGGTCACATTTTTTTTTGACAGGGTGCCAAGACCATTCAATGGGCAAAGGACAGTCTTTTCAACAAACAATGCTGGAAAAATTGGATATACACATGAAAGAATAAAGTTGGACCCTTACCTAACACTATGCACAAAACCAAAAATCAGGCCGGGCGCGGTGGTTCACGCCTGTAATCCTAGAACTCTGGGAGGCCAAGGCAGGCGGATTGCTCAAATCAGGAGTTCAAAACCAGTGTGAGCAAGAGCGAGACCCCGTCTCTACTATAAATAGAAAGAAAATAATTGGCGAACTAACATATATAGAAAAAATTAACTGGTGTGGCACATGCTGTAGACCCAGCTACTCGGGAGCTGAGCAGGAGATCACTTGAGCCAGGAGTTTGAGGTTGCCGTGAGCTAGGCTGATGCCACGGCACTCACTCTCTAGCCTGGGCAACAAAGCGAGACTCTGTCTCAAAAAAAAAAAAAAACAGTTCAAAATGGGCCACAGACCAAAATAAGAGCTAAAACTATAAACTCTTAGAAGAAAACATAGGGGAAAAGCTTCCTGACATTGGATTTGGCAGTGGTTTCATAGATATGACACCAAAGGCACAGGCAACAGAAGGAAAAACAGACAAATTGGGCTTCATCAAAATTAAAAACTTCTGTACACCAAAGGACACTATCAAAAGAGTGGAAAGGCAACTCACAGAATGGAAGAAATTATATGCAAATCATTTCTGATAATATAATACCCAGAATAAATAGAGGGCTCCTTCAACTCAACAGCAAAAATACACACACACACATAAAAAGAACAACCCAGTTCAAAATTTGGCAAAGAACTAAAGCAGGTATTTCTCCAAAAAAGATACATAGGTGGCCAGTAAGCACATGAAAATATGCTCAGCATAATTAGTAATCGGGGAATGCAAATGAAAAGCACAGTGAGTTGCCACCTACTAGTCATTATAATGGCTAGTATTAAAAAAAGAGAAAACAATGTGTTAGCCAAGACGTGGATAAATCGGAACCCTTGTGCATTGCTGCTGGGAATGTAAAATGGTATAGTAGCTTTGAAACTAGTATGGCAGTTTCTCAAAAATTAGAGTTACCGTATGCTCCAGCAATTCCACTCTAGGTATGTACCCAGAAGAAATGAAAGCAAGGATTCCAACAGATATTTGTATACCCATGTTCATAGCAGCATTATTCACAATAATCAAAAGGTAGAAGCAACCCAAATGTCTATTGATGGATGAATGGATACACAAAATGTAAAATGTATGTACAGTGGAATATTATTTAGCCATGAAATTCTGATAACATGCTACAAAATGAATATACCTTGAAGATATTTTGTTGAGTAAAAATAAGGACAGAAAAGGACAAATAATGTGTGCTTCCATTTATATAAGGTATCTAGAGTAGTCAGTTTCTTAGAGACAGAAGTAAAGTGGTGGTTACCAGGGTCGTCGGGGAGGGCGCAGTGGGGAGTTGTTTAATGGGTACCTAGTTTCATGGACAATGAAAAAGTTCTGGAGACAGTGGTAATGGTGGCACAACAATGGGAATGTACTTAATGCCACTTAATCGTACACTTAAAAATGGTTAAAATGTTAAACTTTATGTTATATATTTATATTTACCACAATTATAAAAAGCAATTAAGTGCTTTTGATTTATTTTGTGACATGACCAGTTTGGTACAATTCTCACATTGGAAATGAGAGCTCATCTTCAAACCATTATTTATGGTCATATAGGCAGTTTTCCTTTGTTTATGAAATGATAAACACTTTACATGTAAAAGTATTAGAGAATGTATCCTATTAAGTTCTTATACTACTACTTTCTATTGTTTAAAACAAATGTGATTTCTAAAAAGAAAGCATTTTCATTTACCCTTTTGAATAAAATGTGTAATAAAAAGAGACTACAAAAAGAGTTCTGTAATAGACAATTTTACTTATCACTTACTTATTCCTCCTCACCCCCATCTCCAGTCCTTGACTCAGGACTGACTTTGACTTATTTATTTATTTTTTGGAGACAATCTCTTGCTCTGTTGCCTGGGCTAGAGTGCAGTGGGGTGATCATAGCTCACAGCAACCTCAAGCTCCTGGGCTTAAGCGATTTTCCTGCCTCAGCCTCCAGAGTAGCTGGGACTATAGGTGCATGCCACCATACCCAGCTAATTTTTCTATTTCTTGTAGACAGGGTCTCTGTCTTGCTCAGGCTGGCCTCAAGTAATCCTGGCCTCAAGAGTGCTAGGATTATAAGCGTGAGCCACCAGGCCCAGACTATGCTGATTTCTTCTTCTTCTTCTTCTTTTTTTGAGACAGAGTCCTTGCTTTGTTGCTCAGGCTAGAGTGAGTGCCATGGCGTCAGCCTAGCTCACAGCAACCTCAAACTCCTGGGCTCAAGTGATCCTGCTGCCTCAGCCTCCCGAGTAGCTGGGACTATAGGCACGTGCCACCATGCCCAGCTAGTTTTTTCTATATATATTAGTTGGCCAATTAATTTCTTTCTATTTATAGTAGAGACGGGATCTTGCTCTTGCTCAGGCTGGTTTTGAACTCCCAACCTCGAGCAATCTGCCCGCCTCGGCCTCCCAGAGTGCTAGGATCACAGGCGTGAGCCACCGTGCCTGGCCTATTCTTAATGAAGACCAGTTCCTAGTGGGAAGGGAGGGTATTGGAAACATTCACATGCTAGAGCTTTAGTCTTAAAGAGGTTTGGTAGTTAAAATGTCTGTTAGCATAGTAATTGCACTAGTTTTAACAATTTTATTTTATATTAGACTTACTTTGATCATGATGTAAATGAAGGCCTATTTTATTTTTACATAGAGCAGTTTATGCATTAGGCAAACTGTTAAAGCCAAACTCTTACCTTTAAAACTTATTGTTTTATTTTTAAAATTTCTGAAAGTTATTTTAAAAAATACTGTTACCTTTATATATTTATATACATGATAAAATGTTCTTTGAAATTACATGTATGCAACAAGACAACAAAACAACCCTGCTGTACTTTATGTCTGCAACAAAAGCAGTAAAAGAAAATGTGAACATCACAGTTTTAAGTTCTCATTTTAAAGAATTTTTATAATTCCACCAATTTGTAAAGGTTAGATACTTCTAGAATCAAAGAACAATACTTCAATTCAACTAACTTTCTGGAAAGACAAACAAAACAAAACTATTCCTTGTATTTTTTCCTTCAGATTTTTTTTATGGGCATTATAAGAAAAATGGGCAAAAGACTTGAACTCTTCTTGAGAGATGCTATCCAAATGGCCAGTAAACATCGACCAGTTTGTTGTTACAATTTGCGGTTCTTTGATTATAACTAAACATTTCCTCCTGTACCTTTATTGACTCTCCTATGAATTATAGGTTTGTGTTTCTTGTCCATTTATGTTTTGGCTTGTTAAAGGTGTTCTTATCAAATGATGAGATTTTAAATTTATTTCTAATTATATAAGGAATACATAACACATTGTTATGAAAATATTGTAATTACAGTTCTAGCTGATGTCTCCCTTGGTCATCACTCGTAATCCTAGGTCTTAAGGATTACGAGTGATGACCAAGGGACATCTCAGCCCTCACCAGAGACAATCATTGTTACTCATTGGATGTGTAGTCCTGTAAACCTCTGTGTGTGTGTGTGTGTGTGTGTGTGTGTGTGTGGAGGGGGGGTAATAAAACTGTATCATACCATTATTCTGCAGGAGTTCTTTTTTTTTTTTTCTTTTTAATTTTTTTTATGGAATATATTGAGTATTGATGGAGCTCTTTTTTTTTCCCCTCAGACAGAGTCTCACACTGTGTTGCCCGGGCTAGAGTGCCATGTCATTGGCCTAGCTCACAACAACCTCAAATTCCTGGGCTCAGGCTCCTGCCTCAGCCTCCCAAGTAGCTGGGATTACAGGCGTGCACCACCACACCTGGCTAATTTTTTCTATTTTTAGTAGAGATGGGGTCTCGCTCTTGCTCGGTCTGGTCTCGAATTCCTGAACTCAAGTGATCCTCCTGCCTCAGCCTCCCAGAGTGGTAGGATTACAGGAGTGAGTCACCTTGCCTGGCCAATGGAGCTTTTTTTATGTCAATATAGATATATTCTGTTTAATTGCTGCATAGCATTCCATACCATGCATATATCATAGTTTATTTAACTCTTCTCCTATTGAAGGACATTTGAGTTGCTTTCATTTGTTCGCATTTACAAACAGTGCTTCAGTCAGCACCCTTTTATATGTGCTCTAAGTCTTCCCTAATGTAGTTATTGAGAAGTAGAATTTCTAGGCCATAGGGTTTCCTCCTATTTCATAACCGTTTTCAGTTAGTGTTTATCCGATTACTAGTAAAGCTGAGGATTTTTCCATGTTTTTTGGTTGTCTTTCTGCTCTCTGCAAATTGCCTGTTTATACCCTCTGCCCACTTTTACATTAGGCTTGTTTTTTTTTCTATATTGATACATAATTCTTTATAAGTCTTATTCAGGTATCTTTGTTTAATATGTTGTATGCATTTTTTCCATATGTGAACTCTTTATATAACAAAACATAATCCTTTGTCATCTTTGTTGCATATTTTTCCACATCTGTATGTCTTTTACTTGTTTCTTCTTTTTTTCTGTTCAATTTCTACCATAATTGGCATTTTTTTTTTTCCTTAAATGTTTGACACATTTACCAGTAGAGCCATCTGGGCCTAAAATTTTCTTTGTTGGAAAGTTTCCAATTATAGCTTCAATTTCTTTTAATAGTTTACAGAACTATTCATATTTTCTACTTATTTTTTGTGCCAGTATTGGTAAGTTCTGTTTCTCTAGGAATCTGTTCATTCATCTAAATTTTCAAATTTATTAGCAAAAAGGTAGTGATATCCTTATACTGTCTTTTAAATGTTTATAGGATTTGTAGTGCTGTCCTATTTTTCATTTTTTATATCATTAATATTGGTTCTTTTTCTCCTTTTTTTTCTCCTTACCAGGGGTATCAGTTTTATTAATCTTTTTCAAAGAACTAAGGTTTTACTAATCCTCCCCAATGAATATTGATTACACTTCATTCTTGAAAAATATTTTCACTGGGTGTAGAATTCTGCCTGGGTAATTGTTTTCTTTCAACTCTTTGAAGGTAGCATTCCATTGTTTTTTTGGCTTCTGTTTTTCTCTTTCAGTCAGCTCTGTTCGAAAGTAATTGTCTTTTCTGTGGATGATTTGAATATTTTCTTTGTCCTTGATTTTCTACAATTTGAATAAGATATGTCTAGCTGTGATTTTCTGCCTTTTTTATTAGGATTATAAGTTTTCATTTTGTGTCTGTTTTGCATATAGAAATTGTAAGCGATTACCTAATGGAATGTGTTTTTCCTTTGGCAGTTTCTTTTCTTTATCGTAGATAGGGAAGACCTTGCCACTCTCTGTTCCCAAATGTTGAAAAATTCTGTTCTGGGTTTTCTGTGGAATCAATTGTGTAGATCTAAATCATTTTTAGTGTTGTATCTCCAAATTGATGATGAATTCTTCTTAAAAAATTTACAAAATAACTTTTTTTTTTTTTTTTTTTGAGACAGAGTCTCGCTTTGTTGTCCAGGCTAGAGTGAGTGCCGTGGCGTCAGCCTAGCTCACAGCAACCTCAAACTCCTGGGCTCGAGCGATCCTCCTGCCTCAGCCTCCCGAGTAGCTGGGACTACAGGCATGCGCCACCATGCCCGGCTAATTTTTTACATTTATATCAGTTGGCCAATTAATTTCTTTCTATTTATAGTAGAGACGGGGTCTTGCTCTTGCTCAGGCTGGTTTTGAACTCCTGACCTTGAGCAATCCGCCCGCCTCAGCCTCCCAGAGAGCTAGGATTACAGGCGTGAGCCACCGCACCCGGCCAAAATAACTTTTTAATTTGGTCATTTATTTTAAATGCTTTTTGTGTGTGTCTTAAATTCTTATATGTATTAATAGAGACTCTTTCAGGAGCAGCTGTTTGATGTCAGTAGCTGCTTCTACTTGAAAGGAGCATGCTTTAATCAGATTTTATTTAATCTGTCTTCCTCGCCAATTTTCCAGGGCAGCACCCATGTTTTTCATGTAAGGTGTCTGGTAAAGATGTGAAGCGCTGTTCTGTGGGTGCTTGTGGGAAGTTCTATCATGAAGCCTGTGTCCGCAAATTCCCCACTGCCGTCTTTGAGTCGAAAGGGTTCCGCTGCCCCCAGCACTGCTGCTCCGCCTGCTCTATGGAGAGAGACATCCACAAAGCCAGTAAAGGTAAGACCGCTAAAGAAGGGGCAAAGCGTTTGTTTGTTTGTTTGTTTGTTTTTAAAGTGCAGTGGCAAATAATGTTTTAAGCACGTTATTATAAACAACATTCTTCCTGTGTTATCTCTGTGTCTAACAGTTCAGCCACAATAAACAGCATGCCAATTAGGGATTAAGTTCTAATTCAGACCATGAGAAGAAAATTTCATATGTTCAGAATTATCCTTAAAAATCCCTTAGACCATATTGGATAATACCATCTCTCCAGCATTGGAACAGACAATTTTTTCTTTGAACAATCTCTAAATGAGTATAGGCTTGTATTTAGAGGCCATATAGCATGGGAATGACAGAGCCAAACTAGTGACGAAAAAATGTTTTTATTTTACTATAACTAGCATCATATAGGAACCCAGAAAAGCCCAACTCCAAAAATCTCATATCTAACTTATATGTTATACAGAATCCTTTTTAACTTGTTTTTAAACAGGCCGCATGATGAGGTGTTTGAGGTGTCCACTGGCCTACCACTCTGGGGATGCGTGCATTGCAGCCGGAAGCATACTTGTGTCCTCCTACATTCTCATCTGTAGTAATCATTCCAAACGGAGCAGTAATTCTGCTGCTGCTGTAAATGTAGGCTTTTGTTTCGTTTGTGCCAGAGGTGAGTGTCAGTCTTTCCTCTTTATTTCTTTTTGAGGTCATTGGCATATTTCCCCATTAAAATAGAGTCTCAGCATTGGGCGAGAACTCAGGCCATCTAGTACAATCTCCCACCCAGAGCAGAATTCCATTTTATTATATCTTTGAGAGAGATGAACATTTCCAGTAACTAGTCCCTTTTATAATGCTAGACGTCCAAATTGTTAGAATACTAATTCTTCCATAAGTTAACCTAACACCTGCATTTCTAAAAATAATTTATAGTTCAATTCTTAGTTTTTGTATTCAGAGCATCAAAAGGTTAATCTGTTCCCTTCTGCAAATAATTCTTCTGTTGGGAATAGATCCTTCCCATGTCATATTCTTTAATCCAGAACTTTCAACTGATTGAGATTTCACTTGGAAGGCAAGACTAGCACATTTATTTTTCAATTGTTGATGCCATATTTTATCATAATGTTTTGGTCTGGCACTGAGCAAGGCCTGATGGGACGCAGCCAAGCAGCATATGTGGTGGTGTTAGCCAGAGCCAGCAGGGCAGGCGTTCTCGCTCGCCAGCTGTTGATGCTACGTATGCCAAGAGATTGATCAACTACAAACAGTGTCGTGTCCCTGAGGGGATCGGTGAACTGGAGTCTGTGATAAATATATTGGAACTTCTTTAGTTGAATATGATACAGAATATCCAGCTTTATTTCAGCTGTAGTATAATAAAACTTTTGTTTTGGTGCTTAGTAAACATTATAGAAACCAACTAATATCCCCAAATACTGTTTTGTTTTGTTTTTAATATAAGTGCTAAGTTTTCTGAACTTACCCCAGAATGAAATACTTGAAAGGACTCTTAAGGCCCATCAAGCCTCTTAGATTATATTTAAACTATACTGAAGAAAGTGGTTTTTGTTTGTTTGTTAATTTTTGCTTTAGGAGACAGTTCTTTTAATTTGGTGACAGTACTATAAAAATTTTTTTTAGTAGAGTTTAGGAAGTAGGATAGATCTTAAGTGGTTTTGCTTGTGTTTCATTTCTAGGAAACAGCACAGAGGAGGTAGGCAGTGGGGGAGTAAGTAACGGCAGTCCTGTGTGGCACAGCCGCTGGGTCTGTAGTACATGCTCTTTCCGTTTGCCTGAATTTTGTAAGCACACAGGGCTGTCTGCCATTAGAGCAGGAAGCATCGCGTCTTTCTTGACTAGAGCAGTTACAACTGTATCCTGCTCTGAAACCTGGCTGGTACCTGGAGGAGTAGGTCTAAAATGTTTCCTGCCACCTGTAGCAAGAAATAGAAAGGATTCAAATAGGCAAACAGTAAAAAGCATCACTAGTGCCTTTCCCATCTCCCATCCTCAAGCAGTAACCATAGGAAGGAGTTGCTGTAGTAGCTTAGCTTCAGAGACTGTGAAACAGATGAGTGGAAGCGATAACAACATCTCTTAGTGCTTTGCAGACTTTCTCTATTCTGCCATTCCTAGGCATTTGCATTAACTGTTAGTGTATAAGCATACGTAAGTTAGCCAACATTTTATTTTTTTATTTTTTAGTTTTTTTGGAGACAGAGTCTCACTTTGTTGCCCAGGCTAGAGTGAGTGCCGTGGCATCAGCCTAGCTCACAGCAACCTCAAACTCCTGAGCTCAAGCAATCCTCCTGCCTCAGCCTCCCGAGTAGCTGGGACTACAGGCATGCGCCGCCATGCCCAGCTAATTTATATATATATTTTATATATATATATATATATATATATATATTAGTTGATCAATTAATTTCTTTCTATTTATAGTAGAGACGGGGTCTCGCTCTTGCTCAGGCTGGTTTTGAACTCCTGACCTTGAGCAATCCGCCTGCCTCTGCCTCCCAGAGAGCTAGGATTACAGGCGTGAGCCACCATGCCCGGCCAGCCAACATTTTAAATACCAAGTTTATAACTATTATGTTGGCTTATTTTGAAGTACATTATGAATTAGTATATTAACTGATATATTCTTTTGCTTTATTTCATTCATAATTGGGGCACCTTTAAAATAGACATTTTTCAACTTAGGACAGGTAGAAAATGGTCCACTTTAGAAACTCTAGCCATTGTGTTAAATTTAACTTCTGTGACTTGATTAAAAGTTTGAGAATAACATAAATGAAGGGAAAACCCATGTTTTAACAGCAGAATTTATATTTATATCTTATCAATTTGGCAGTTATTCTGGAAGATTTATTGTATTTAACTGCCTATTTAAGCAAGATTATTTAATTCTCAAATAATTTAACTGTAAAACTTTGTATAGTAAAGAGAAACCTTCATTTTCCTTTCCAGCATTTGACAAGGAATAATTCTAAATAGATCAGATGTTGGGATTTGAGAAGGCTTAAGAGTCTTTTAGAAGTAAATAATGTATGTTATTTTATAAGTATTTATAGACATCACCCTTTTTTAGGAGACCTAGATCCACACACAGAAAGGAAACTGTAATCATTTATGTTTTAGTATTAGAAAATTCAGCTTGTTTTGCTTGTTTCTTGCCTCGTACAGAAATTGTCCCTCCAATAAGGTTTTTCTCTTAGTTTTTGGTTATTGGGCGTTCACAATCATTAAGCTAATTCTTAAGGACTGGAATGTCTAAAAATATTTTTAGAAATGTTTCAAGGTTTAGAAGAGCCGTGCATCCTCTCCACCCCCAGCTAACTCATGGTGCCACCGGAAATGTAAAGGCATTTTTCAGTATATTATATATTCTTTAGCATCTCCTTTCATCCAGGGGATTGTGTAAAATAAGTTACTTAATATTCTGTGATTTTCTTTGTAATGGTAATTTAAAATGGATAAGGTAGGCTAGGGTTTTCTTTTCATTTTAATGTGATTTATTTTGCATATGTAAATTGAACTCTGCTAAACACTATCTGAATGAATTACCACAATTACCACAATTGTCCTAAGAAGTTATTTCCCCCATTTTATACAGATGAGATACTGAAGCCCAGATTACATAATTTGCCCGATGTCACACAGTTACATGGAGGCGTTTGTACCTGATCTTCCTTATTTCAAAGCCCATATTGTTCTATACTGCACTGCCTCCCTCTATTAAATGTATGAAATTCATTTCAACAGCATATAGCTTTTATTAAAGATTCCTGTGCTGTTAGCAAAATCAAGTTCCATGGTGTCATCTGGGTCGGAGGTAGTTCTGAATTCTCAGTGTAGAGTAACATCAAATGAAAATAACACCCACAGAAAATAAGTAAGTGGTAGCTTCCCTCCCTTCAAAATGATCTCTAAATGAAACAGCCATTGTGATTCGTTAAATCTTAGATTATTATACACTGACCAGCAACCAAGATAGAGAAATTTCTCCTGGTCTCACAGTTCCCTAGGTTTAGAAGTGGCTTACAGCTCCACCATGAACTTAAACTGGGGGAAGAGGGGAGGGAAGGAGAAGAGAGAGTCACAGGTAGGTAGGTAGATCTTGTGTTTTTCTCTAAATAGGATAGCTAATATTGGTAGATCAAAAGGACTGTTTTTATAAACCCTTAAGTTGGTAATCACTTTATATCATGGCAGGAAAAAATTAAAATGGTTTGCATTGCCTCAGTAAAGTTCAGAAAACCATGGTTCCCTTAAAGTCATGTACTGTATTGATAGAAAAAGATTTCCTTATCTGGCAGAGAAAGGTAGGGTTTGTTTGAGTGTATCTCAAGTTATGAATGGAGAAAAAGAGAGACTCCATTCCACCTTTAAATGCTACTTGGTATATTGAAGGTAGATCAGGATCTACTATGTTAGGTAAATGATTCTTATTTCTAACTCATTGATATGTCATTTTGTTCTTGGGGGGCTGTCATCGTAGCACTTCTAAATATTAAGGAATATAGCTTTATTTCCGTAGGGGGTTCTCAGTAAGATGGCAAATACCATTTACATTTCCAAATTATTTGGAATTTTCTTTTGCAGTATATAGGTTTCTATATAGGGATAAGGCATCGAGTAGCTCCACTCCCTTTAATAACTGTAAGAAACCTTTCTGTCAGATCTTTCTTTTTCTTCATATTCTCCCCTCCCCCCACCTTTAAAGCACAGTGACATAATAGATGTTGGTTTATTTTTTCCTCATGGAATCATGGGTAGTTTCATTGCAGCTCATGTCTTTCTGTTTGTTTCGTATAGGGCTGATAGTTCAGGACCATTCAGACCCCATGTTCAGTTCATATGCCTATAAGTCCCACTACCTACTGAATGAATCAAATCGTGCTGAGTTGATGAAATTACCTATGATTCCTTCTTCGTCAGCTTCCAAAAAGAAATGTGAGAAAGGTAATAATCAAAATAGTTTATCTCTTGCTTTCATTTTTGCATTTCCTATTTTTCTCTCTTTAAATGAAGGGGGGAAATGTATGCCTGTCAAACACCATCTGTTGCTTTTGGTAAATTCTGCCTTGGTGGTTGTGACTGTGTCTTCATATGGCTGCACAATTATTTAAAAGGGCTTAAAATAATTCCATTATTACAAATTTTTACTTACTCTTCTCCTTGAATAAATTTTCACACATTCCATATGTGTAGGTTATTGAAATAGAAAACTAGGATTTTGTTCAATATAGAATCATATTCTAAACACTTCCTCTTTTGTCTGGTGTTAGAACTGTCATTCGTGTTAGAATAGAATAGATATAGTATAATTTGTTACTAACTTTCAACTAAATAACAAGAGAGGTTATTAAAAGAAAGAAACTAAGATATTGATACTTAAAAGTTTGATTTTAGAATGCGTTCTGTCATTTTGTTTCTTAAATGTTTTGTTAAGATGCTATGAAAACTAGTTGCCCTTCCCTTAGAAGTTGGTGGGAAGCTGGGGGGCAAAGAGGGCTACCCCAAATACTGGATGTTGGAAGGCAGCTCAGCTGAATTGCTGATGGATGATTTATCCACAGAGAACCAAGAGCTAAATGTATATTTATATTCTCCCAGTTAGTTTAATCTATGGAAGAAAACTTTATATTGTGTTTACTTTTCCATAGCCTACTTGTAATAAAGGAAAGAAGTGATTTAACAATAATAATATTATTTGGGGAATTGTTATCCCAAAGGGAAAAATAAATGAGCTTGAAAGGTGAAGGCCTTTTCTTGTATACGTTCCTATTATGATCTGGGGGCCAGGTTCAGAATCTTTAAAGAAAACTTTATTCATACCTAATACACCATGTATGTACACTAGATATATTTGAAATGGCTTTTTAAAATTATTATTTATGTTGCCTGTATGATGTACCTTTGTTCTTTGTCAGACATCTGAAATGGCAACTCATGACTAAAAGAAAGAATAACTCAGCAAGTTGATTGGAGAGAGTATTGGCTTATTTGTTTGTTTTCTATTGAAGTTGGATTATATCACCTTATTGATGATACTGCCTACTTCTAAAACAAAGATGAACATAGGTTTGACTTACTCCAAAGTTAGTCTACCAAAGCATTTTAAGGAATGCTTTATTTTCCTGTTAGTACCTTTATGAAATTACATTGATTCAATTGTTACTTTGTTTTCAGTACTAAGTATTAACCTTGACATGAATTGAAATTATTTTGAGCCCTCTGTTTGCTTAGCTTGAACCATCTTACTTCGCTTGTATCCTAAAGTAGTTTTCTTGCATAGCACCAAGGTGGATCATTCATATTTTTATTTTTTTCTATTTCCCTTGTGTATTTTAAACATCTTTATCATGATTTTCATTTATGATTCTGGCTCCTGTATTTCCTCTGAAATAAGACATAAAATTAAGGACTATTCCAAATGTTAAAAGTGGCCAGCCTGACTTTTCCACAACAGCACGAATAATCACTTGTCCTAAAGCTGTTTGCAAAGACTGTTTTCTCCCTGCTTGTCAGTCCTTTCTGATGGAAGAATAAATAATCTCATTTTACTTTAAATTTATAAAAGAATTCCCTTCCTAGGCTTAGAGCATTCAGGCAGCTAATCTCTAGGTTGGAGAATTGAGCCAATTAATCCATATTGAGATCTGCAGTCAAAGGAAAAAAAATCCCAATAATTGAAGTAAAAGCTTTTAAGCAGAGGAAATATAGTAATTTAATTCATCACTGGTTGTATATGGATTTTCTTTTTGTTTTTATGTTAATCAGAAGTTTGAAAGTCTGCAGGAAGACAAGATTTTTCTGGAAAATTGATAGCAAATCCTCAAAAGGTTGGAGCAAATGATTGGATAAAGTTGTATAGAGTGCTGTTAACCTTTTGCTTATGAGACTTTAAATCTTAGTACACTCCTGGGTTATAGACTTTATTTTCAAATTAAAAGATTAAATTTTTATAGTAAATGTCTTTATTATATTTCATCTTTAGTGGCTAAAAACCTTCTCTGTCACTTGTTGAAATATGTATTAGAAATACCTAATCCTCCCCCCCAAAAATCTCATATTTCTTTGGATTTAAAAATATATTTTTTTGCCACACCTGTTTTGATCTCAATCCAGAGATCGTTTTGTGTGTTTAAAAGGAGAGGGTTTTGATAGGGAACTTGGAAGGATCTCCTAACGTGTGGTACTTCATTCTACAGTGATAATTACTTAGTTTTATGCTATAAAGCAGTGGTTCTCAATGTGCAGTTAGAAATGACTTATGTAAACAAAGTTTTTGAGCTGTGTTTAATATTTCAGAAAATGTAACAATTACACATTTGTGCAAAATAAGACTGTATGAGTTTCTTTTTATTTGGCTATGATTTTAACAATTTAATATTACTAGTTTTGTTATTGGGATCAGAATCTTGGATTGGCATTTATATCTTAATAAAAATAGGAGAAATTGTTACTTTTAAAATGCAGATTTTTTGTGGTGGATAAAATATTTGAAAACATGTAGGTTCATGAGCAAGGAAAAGGGGATCCTTGGTGAGTGAAAAAGTTGCAGACCACTGCTGTATAGCCTGCTTAATAACTTTATCTTCATGGAAATAATGATATTGTAATCACCAATTTGAGAATCTACATTCCTTTTGCTTTTTTATATTCTTTATGGAAAGAAAAAATACTAATAACTGATTGGCTATTTTCATTCTTGCTGATTTTATCATAAAGGGATTTAGTTAACTATGGCAGTGGATTAAAATGCAAACATGAAACTGTTGTTTTCTTTATTAGCTCTGAAGGAGAAAAAAAAGTTGCTACTTATATCTTTAAAAATCTGCTCTCAAATCTACTCAGTTGAAAGATCTTATGCTTCTATTTTGTCACATGTTAGAGTTTTAGTTGCTTTCTAAACTGATACCTCAATAGCCCACATTTTGGAGGAGTAAAGAGTACAGTAATGCTTTTGGTACTCAAAAGCTCTGAAATCTGGCCGCTGAAGCCCTGAAAAATAACTAAATATGTTCATTTGCTATTTTAATCCATCACTATAGATATGACTCAATCCCTTTGTTATTTTTTCCCAATTTGAATCCAGTTTAATATGCTCAAAAGATAACTTTCTCCCTTTTCTTTCTTTTTCTCTTTCCTCTTTTCTCAGTTATTAAGACTGTTTATTTGTTTCAAGGTGGAAGATTGCTCTGCTGTGAATCGTGCCCGGCTTCCTTCCACCCGGAATGCCTGAGCATAGACATGCCAGAAGGCTGCTGGAATTGCAATGACTGTAAAGCTGGCAAGAAACTACATTACAAGCAGATTGTTTGGGTCAAATTGGGAAATTACAGGCAAGTTTTTCCAAGGACAAAGAGTAAATATTCAGTCATTGTGCAGGCCAGGTTCATAATCTGGATACAAAGCAGCTAGCAGGTGGACAGGTGGAACAGCACAGACTTCCTTAAAGAAGAAAGAAAAGAAACATGTATTCAGTCTGGGTTGTTCAGGGGTTGGGAAGGTTATGTAGCTGTTGAATTTTTTTCCTTTTCTCTGGGATTGGTCAGTTGACTTTTGATTTTTAAGTCTGAAAGTTATTTTATACTAATGAACTATGTACTACTAGATTTTGGAATAAAAGCGCTTATGTGGCCAGGGGAGGTGATGTTTTCTTTGTCTTAATTAGATTTATATTGATTTCTGATTTCTAATAAGATCAAGAGATTATATCCTGGCCAAAGCAGCTCTTTGCCCATGAATCTTAGTCCATTTTGTTCTAGCTAGAAGCCCTAAACTGTGTGTAAAGAGAGAGCAAGGAAGTATGTGTGATTGCCGTTATTTTAATGAAACTTTCTTCTTTAAGACTTTTAAGAAGGTTTCACTGAACAAGTAGAGCAATATATTATTAAAACCCTACATTTTGGCTGTCGTGGTAACTCACATCTGTAATCCCAGCACTTTGGTGGGGGGCACGGAGTGGATTGCTTGAAGCCAGGAGTTCAAGACTAGCCTGGGCAACATACTTAGAGAACCTCCCCATCAAATAAATTAAAAATTATATTTTATATACTCGTATCTTTAAACCAAAAAAATGAAGAAAAATTAGTGGGTGGGCTGGTAGACAGCTGTAGTCCCAGCTAATTCAGGAGGCTGACGGCAAGGACTATGCTTCGATCAAGGAATCTGAATGGTGCCCTGTGACGATACGGCTGACGCACTCCTAGTCACTCATAGCCTGGGCAACAGAGCTAGACCCTGTCTCTAAACAAACAAATAAAAACTCTACTTTTTTAGGCATGTATTTATCATTTTACCTAAGAAATAATTACTATCAAATAAGCACAACAGAGTTCTGCTTTTTAATCAGAATCTCATGTAAAACATATTTATAGAATTTCAGGCCAGGCATGGTGGCTCACGCCTGTAATCTAGCACCTAGCTGAGGCTAGGGAGGATTGCTTAAGGTTGAAACCAGCTGAGCCGAGAGCGAGACCCCATCTCTACTATAAATAGAAAGAAATAATATGGCCAACTAATATATATACGTAGAAAAAATCAGCGCGGGCATGAGGGCACATCCTGTAGTCCACGCTACTTGGGAGGCTGAGGCAGGAGATCGCTTGAGCCCAGGAGTTTGAGGTTCTCATGAGCTAGGCTGATGCCACGGCACTCACTCTAGCCTGGCAACAAAGTGAGACCTGTCTCCAAAAAAAAAAAAAAATTTTCAAACATACTGTAATTTTTTAAAGGAGCTGTGTTGTTTTCTGTTTCAAATATGCTGATTGCTTACCTATTTAATTTTGTTTTTCTTATAAAGACAGGCAGGTCTTACTCTGTCACCCAGGCTAGAGTGCCATGGCATCATCATAGCTCACAGCAACCTCAAACTCCTGGGCTCCAGCAATCCTCCTGCCTCAGCCTCCTGACCAGCAGGGACTACAGGCAGACACCACCACTTCCGGCTAATTTTTCTATTTTTTTGTAGAGTGCTCAGACTGGTCTCAAACTGCTGGCCTCAAGCTATCCTCCCACCTCAGCCTCCCAAAGTGCTAGGATTACAGGTGTAACCCACCTGTGCCCAGCCTACTCTAGTTAATCTCTCTCCTCTTTTTTTTTTTTTTTTTTACTGTTAATAAGATTTAATAAGTACTTTGTGCCTGGCTCTGTTCCAAAGATTCTAAAAGTGGGTTATTTCATTTAGTTTTCACAGTGCCCTCAGGAAGTACAGTTGACTCTTGAACAATACAGGGGTTAGGGGTACTAACCAGCCCCCTACCTCCATGCCTTCACAAGCTATCTAACTAACCTGAGCCATCACTCATCTAGCCTCAACAAAATAATTATACATATCTACAAACAACAGTTAATTATAATATACAATTTAAAACTCATTAATCTACCCAGTAAATAATCACATAATATGAAAAAAAAAATTACGATCAATTAAATATACAACCCTCAGAAATAAAAAAATCTCTAACAAATCTCAACCACTAAATCCAATAATTAAAACCTATAAAAAAACCAATCCACACGAAATTAATAAAAGTCAATCTAAACTTCTAACATATAATACTACATATCTACACTTTAATAAAGAAAAAAAAAACTTCAAAGCTTGTTCAACACTATCAATAGCACTTTGGGAGCAGATTGTATGTTCAGTAAGAAAGACAAATAGAAAAAGGGCAAAGAAGTACTAAGAAACACGATAATAAACACTGGGGCCGGGCCCGGGTGAGCTACACGCATGTTAATTCCTACTCTCTGGGAGGCGTAAGGCGGCCGAATTGCTCGAGGATTCGGAATGAGTTCGACACCAGCCTGAGCAAACGAGACCCCTCATCTACTACTAAATATGAAAGATATATCAATTGAGCTCACCAATATATAATAAATGAAAAATTAAGCCGGCAATACAAGGGATATGCTGTGTTCCCAGCTATCCTTGAGGAGACCTGAGACAGAAAGATCGCTATGAGAGCCAGGAGTTTTGAGGTATTGCTAGTAGCCAGGCTGACACCAAACGGCAACTCACTCTAGCATGGGCAACAAAGCGATAGACTCTGATCTCAAAAAAAAAAAAAGAAATAAAAATAAAAATAAATGAAACCCACATCTCACCATTCATATCATATCTCATCCACACACTACCACTATAAATAATCCCATCTCAATATCACTCTAAATTACAATACATAATACATAACCTCAAACCTCTAAAAAAAATACAACTGGATCTCAAATTAAATAAATGAATTTTTTATTTATATATTTTATATAGGGATTTTAAAAGATGGATGATTTTTGTGCAGCGAGGGATAAGAATGACATAGGGTTGCAGTGGTATGCTAATGTCAAAGTTAACGCGATAAGCTCTGATATGCATTCATAAATAAGAAGAAATTGATAGCAGGAGGGTGTTAATTATAGGGTGTTCGTTCATATATTATTTTCTAATTGCAAAAATTTGAAATAACCAAACTTAGTCAGTAGGGAGGGGGATGATCTGTGAGATAAACATAGTGTGTCGTATTGTAGAAACCATTAAGCCAATGAAAGGATAATACAGGTCTGTATAGCACATGAGAAGCTATCCATGATATATATTGTTCATATAATTTGTAAAAATTGTAGCTCTAAATATGTTATGTTTTAATACCTGGAAAGAAATACTTCTAATGTTAATAATCTCAGGAATAAGATTACAAGGGAAGGTATTTTTACTTTTCTATTATGTATTTTCTATTGTTTTATTTTTTTAAAAATGCAGGCTGGCGAGGTGGCTCACGCCTGTAATCCTAGCTCTCTGGGAGGCCAAGGCGGCGGATTGCTCGAGGTCAGGAGTTCGAAACCAGCCTGAGCAAGAGCAAGACCGTCTCTACTATAAATGGAAAGAAATTAATTGGCCAACTAATATATAGAAAAAAATTAGTCGGGCATGGTGGCGCATGCCTGTAGTCCCAGCTACTTGGCGGCTGAGGCAGAAGGATTGCTTGAGCCCAGGAGTTTGAGGTTGCTGTGAGCTAGGCTGACGCCACGGCACTCACTCTAGCCTAGGCAACAAAGCGAGACTCTGTCTCAAAAAAAAAAAAAAAAAAATGCACATACTGCTTTCTTCCCTTTTTTTGTTTTGTCTTTTTCAGAGCCTTGCTCTGTCACCCTGGCTAGAGTGCAATGGCATTATCCTAGCTCATTGCAACCTCAAACTCCTGGGCTCAAGCCATCCTCCTGCCTCAGCCTCCTGAATAGCTGAGACTACCAGCACACACCACCTCCCCTGGCCAATATTTTTTTATTTTGGGGGTCTCGCTCATTCTCAGGCTAGTCTTGAACTCCTGGCCTCAAGTGATCCTCCCACTCTAGCTTCCCAGAGTGCTAACAATTATAAGCATGAACCACCACACCTGGCCTGCTTTCACAATTTAAAAAAAAACATATCTTTTCAGGTTGAGGAGGAGTGACAATTAATAAATTTAAGACATTCCTAGATAAGAAATATCTGAAGCAGTGTGAGAAGCCTTCAGAGTAATTTTTTTTAAAGTTACAAATATGAAAAGATCTTTAACTTAATTTAATATGAATACTTAAATTTTAATCACATTACATTTTAAAAGAAGCCCAAAGCAGTGCTCAAGTTAAGTTCACAAACCCATTGAGATTTTTGTATCTAGGTCAGATTCTTCTTGTATGTTTTGGAAAGACTTCCATCCGTGAACTAATTCTTAATATATTTCTTTCCAATCAGGCCCAGGGGGCCACATGAAGCTGTTTATTTTCAATAGCTAGTTACTCCAATGCGCTGCTTCCTGGGGGAGAATGTGCGGGCCTGGGACAACGCCTGGCAGAAAGCGGGCCTCTTTCTAACTGCCCGTGCTGAATGCAGGAATCGTGTAGATAATTTAATTACCCTCAAATGGTTTAGAAATAAACAGAGCCTGCTTTGAGGATAAACCTCAAAGACTGATCACATGAAATAGTGGGTTTTATCTTGTTTTTTTTTTTAAAGCAATTTGAGCATGGATTGTTACTCATGTTTTTAATCCTTAGATGACAGCAAGGTATCTTGCATATGATACTTATTCAGGCTCTCTAATATAAATCTGGGGGTACAACCATGTCATTGTTTATCTTCTCAACAATACAGTTATTTGTTAAATAAATGGTTTTATTAGGTATATGTAAAATAAGAGATTGAAAAAAATGTTAAGTCTATATTGTCCATATTGCTGATCTTATATACTACAAAGCTCATGTGCAGCTCTCTGAAATTGGCCTCATTTTATTAGCTTGATCCTTGAATTCCTGACTTGTCCAATTGGTACAAATTGTCAAATTTTCTTACAGATGGCTTCATGTAGTGATTGCTGTAGTTTGCAGTTACAGTATGAAACAGTTGTTTTCATTCTGTCCCCTGTCCCACTATGATCTAAAATGAATTAGATTCTGAAATACAAATTCATATAAAGTCTAGTATATTTGCCCTGGTTGACTAGAGATCCAGAAAATGCTGATTTGAATGGGAGTGGTAATTGTTTACTATAGCATCAGTTTATTCTCAAAATAATTCCCGTGACTACTAGAAATAACACTTTTTTACTATTAAAGATAATCTTGGTGTTAAGTTTGGGGAAAAACATGATTTTTTTGGATTGAAATTGAGTTTGGAATAGCATTATAATCTAATTCTTGAGTTGGGTAGTGGGTTCAGTGTTAATTATTTTATTATACTTTATAACTTAGATTTTCAGGATATACTTTCATAAATATCAAATATTTTTTAAAGAAAAAACATTAATAGATCAGGTGTTTAAGGCCAGTTTGTTTAGTCTGTGTTCATTATTTCATTAATTTGTTAATTAATATGTTTTTAAATGATAGGTGGTTTGAGTAGATTAAAGATAAGCAAGTGTTTTTGCATTCTTAAAATAGGAATGAAAACTGCAAAATACAAAACCATTTTTTCCGTCCTGCCAACCATCTTCTTGGTCTAAAATTGCTTTTGCTTTCAGATGGTGGCCAGCGGAGATCTGCAATCCCAGGTCTGTGCCACTGAACATCCAGGGCCTTAAACATGACTTGGGGGACTTCCCTGTGTTCTTCTTTGGTTCTCATGACTACTATTGGGTGCACCAGGGCAGAGTGTTCCCTTATGTTGAAGGAGACAAAAGCTTTGCTGAGGGACAGACTAGTATTAACAAGACCTTCAAAAAAGGTAAGTGGAGTGATGTTTACAGGGATTCAAATGTCAGACTCCAGTGTTGACTTCTCAATATCTAACTTACAAATGACATATTTCTGGCATTAGAGAATTTCTACCAAGTGTTATGATCCTGTGTCCTGTAAGCTTCCAAGCACATTAAAACCAGGTTTGAAATACATTTCAGTATAGTAGAGACTGTGCTGCATATGTGAAAGAGTTTCTTCAGTGATCTTTTGTGTAAACACAGCTTGTGCTGGGAATGGTCTTCTTAACCAAGGGAAGGTCCTTTGCCACAGCGGAGGGTAAAGGCTTTCCGTGAAGAGCCTACAACTGTTTCTGCAATGAGTTGCTGTAATTTTAGCTTTCTGGGTAAAAGTAAAATGCATTGAAATCTAGTACAAAGTAAAGCACTGCTCTTAGCGTCACTTGGAGGCTTCCGATCACTGAAGTGGGGCCTCTTCTCTGCGGCACATCAGCACAGAGTGTAGCGTTCAGCGAGTTACATCCTATTTCAATGTTACCCTGTCCTGATGGAAAATGGTATCTCCAGAATATAATTTTAAAAAGAAAATCTAAGGCCAGATGGAAAGGCAGTATAAAACCACTAACAGTTTTTGTTTTTGTTTTTGGTATTTATATACTTTGTTTGGTCTTACTGGCAGCACTAGAAGAAGCTGCAAAACGTTTCCAGGAATTGAAAGCACAAAGAGAAAGTAAAGAAGCCCTAGAGAGTGAAAAAAACTCAAGAAAACCCCCTCCCTACAAACACATCAAAGTAAGTCTCTACCCATGAAAACACGGGTATTTAACAGACAAGATGGAATGCGTTTACTCTCTTAGTAGTTAAAGGCCCTTTGGACTTACGAAAACTTTTGCCAATTATCACCCAGCCTTCTGTGAAGCAAACCGAGAGCTTTTGTTGGAAGCATCAGATGGAGGAGTGGCCGACAGGCCCTCTGCTCCCTAGCAGCAGCACGTCTGATAGCAGACCTGTTCTCCCACCCGCTGACCTGCGACCTTATTCCAGAGAGCCCACAGACAAGCGTATCTGCTCGTTTTCAGTCACGAAATTTCCATCAGCCAGTGGAAGAAGAAATACACAGAGTTACCTTAGGCTTTATATTTTTGTCAACTGAGGAGAGATGGTTGTTATTCTTAGCTTATTCATGGGGAAATTAAGCTAAAGAGCCTTTCTCAGAGTCACACCACAGGGCAGTAGCATGGATGTTTTAGGTGTTCCCGTTCAAATTGCTAATAGATTACTCACCTTCCGCCTCCATCTCATTCGTGATTTTGTTTTCTAGGCTAACAAAGTAATAGGAAAGGTTCAGATCCAGGTTGCCGACCTGTCGGAGATTCCCCGCTGTAACTGCAAGCCGGCTGACGAAAACCCTTGCGGCTTGGAATCAGAGTGCCTGAACAGAATGCTGCAGTACGAGTGCCACCCGCAGGTGTGCCCCGCTGGAGAGCGATGTCAGAACCAGTGCTTCACAAAGAGGCTCTACCCCGACGCAGAGATCATCAAAACCGAGCGAAGAGGCTGGGGCCTCAGGACCAAAAGGAGCATTAAGAAGGTAGCATGGGATGGGCGGGTGGAAGCAGCCAGAACCTGTGCCGTTGTGAACCTGGGCCGCTTCAATAGGTTATAACTGTAGGGATATAATAAATAGGGATTTATGGCAAAGTTTTGAAATTTCCCATGTTGAGAGTTTAGCACTACTCGAGCAAAGAAGTGGTAAGAAGAGGATAGCAATAAAATGTATGGGCCAGGCGCGGTGGCTCACGCCTGTAATCCTAGCACTCTGGGAGGCCGAGGCGGACAGATTGCTCGAGGTCAGGAGTTTGAAACCAGCCTGAGCAAGAGCGAGACCCCGTCTCTACTATAAATAGAAACAAATCAATTGGCAAACTAATATATGTAGAAAAAATTAGCCGGGCATGGTGGCGCATGCTTGTAGTCCCAGCTACTCGGGAGGCTGAGGCAGGAGGATCGCTTGAGCCCAGGAGTTTGAGGTGCCCATGAGCTAGGCTGATGCCATGGCACTCACTCTAGCCTGGACAACAAAGTGAGACTCTATCTAAAAAAAAAAAATAAAAAAAAAATATAAATGTACGTAAACTTTGAGTGTCCTATGATCAGTCATAAAGAGAGAAGGAACATTGGTAATTTTCTATGTGAATATTTTTTACTTGTTAAGCAAAATGATTTAAAAGTCTTCATAAAAGCAAAATAGTAAAGTTAAGAATATATTGGGATAGAAACTGGCAAACCTGGGACTTTGCTCGTGTTATAATTCATCAATGGTGAAACCATGGCCAAGTCACTTAACTTCCTGAGTCTCAGTTTCCTCATCTCTAAAATGGACATAATAATATTCCCTGTCCTACATATTTAAAGATTGTCACAAATCTTGAATTTGATTATATATGCAAGAGCAATTGGGAAAAGTTGATATCTTTAACACTTATAATGATTTTCGTTTTATACTCTGAGACAGCTTTTTAAGGCAGTCTCTTTGTTTAACACAAGAAATGCATGCCATTGTAGAAAACTTTTTTTTTTTTTTTTTTTTTTGAGACAGAGTCTCACTTTGTTGCCCGGCTAGAGTGAGTGCCGTGGCGTCAGCCTAGTCACAGCAACCTCAAACTCCTGGGCTCGAGTGATCCTTCTGCCTCAGCCTCCGGGTAGCTGGGATACAGGCATGCGCCACCATGCCGGCTAATTTTTTATATATTATCAGTTGGCCAATTAATTTCTTTCTATTTATAGTAGAGACGGGTCTTGCTCTTGCTCAGGCTGGTTTTGAACTCCTGACTTGAGCAATCCGCCCGCCTCGGCCTCCCAAGAGCAGGATTACAGGCGTGAGCCACAGCGCCCGGCCTCTGTAGAAAACTTTTAAATGCAATAAAGAAAGTGAAATTACTAGTAAATTCTGATATTCAAACAGCTCTCCAATTTAGAGTGCCTGAGACTCCCAGTCTTATTGAAAACAGTGTCTTACTGAATTAGAGTATCTGGTGTGAGTCTGGAATAATCTGCATTTTTAAAACACCCAACCCTACCCCTCACACCTAGCCCTGCTTGCCAGAGCCATCTGCTGTCCAAAACTTGAGGTGTATGCACTGACAGAAAGTAGACCTAGTGAGAATTTAAAATTGCTCCTGCCATTTTTCTACCTTTTAAAAATCACCTTTGTAATTAAAAAGTACCATCCAATGTAGTAGAAAAGGTTATACAATTCAAAAAAGATGTAGAGTGACATTCTCCTTCATCCTCTTCCAATTCCTGGTCTCCTACCAGAAATAACCGCCTCGGCCTCCCATTGAGTGCTAGGATACACGGCGTGAGCCACCCATTAAAGCAGAACTTGTGTGCTATCTTGAATAGTAATTATTTTCTTAGTAAATGATAATAAGCCTAAAAAGTAGAAGTTTATTTGTTTGTT